CTGCAGTAATTGCAGGCAGCTGGTCTTAATAAGCTTAATAACAGGGTGCCTTAAACCCCTGTAGTACCAAGGCTCTTATGAAAAATGTATACCAAAAATAGTGGTTTGTTTTTTTTTAAAGAGCATTTAGAGTACATTTTAAAGGCCTGCATAAAGTATATTTTAAAATACATTTTAATAATATATCATATAAATATTAAATAGGGAATTCTCTTTTAAAAAGGATTCCAAAGACATTTATTTAAAACGTTGTACCTTAAAGAAAGTTTTGCACAAAAGCATTTTTATTTATTTGTTTGATGTATAGTCCCTGCTTCCTCCAGTAATTAAAGTGGAGGGTACATTTTAAAAGGTATTCCAACTGAAAAATATGTTGCCTTATTAATATAAACCTAGTGGAATAAAATAGAATTGTGTGCATGAATATGTATATGTGAAGCCCTTATAGCTTCAGAAGCTGCTATTTGTCAGATTCTGTCTCAATGTTTTATTTGCAAATTGTGTTTTGTGTGTATCAGGGGTGAAATCCAGCAGGTTTTGAAGAACCGGTAGCAGAAATTTTGAGCAGTTCGGAGAACCGGTAGCGGAAATTTTGAGTAGTTCAGAGAACCGGCAAATACCACCTCTGGCTGGCCCCAGAGTGGGGTGGGAATGGGGATTTTGCAGTATCCTTCCCCTGGAGTGGGGAGGGAATGGAGATTTTGTAGTATCCTTCCCCTGCCATACCCACCAAGCCACACCACGCCCACCAAGCCACGCCCACAGAACTGGTTGTAGAAAAAATGCTTTTAAAAGTAAAAAAAAAAAGTTGGCCACGCCCACCCAGTCTCATTAGCCCCCCCACCAAGCCATACCCACAGAACCGGTAGTAACAAATTTTACATTTCACCCCTGTCTACCACCCTTTCTTGCTATCACAGTTCACAAGACACTTTCTTCTAACCCTGCTCAATATTTTCTACTTAGGATGGGTTCATTTCCGAACACTGTTGTAGCCTTTATCATTTTCCCAGCAAATTGATAAGGCTGGATTTTGGAAGATGTGGATTTATGTTGATTTTAATTTGCTTTAATTAGACCAGATGATATGACTAAAGTCAGGTGATATGGCAAAGAGTTGGATATACAATAAAGAAAATATTATCTTGTCTATTGATGCTCTCTTGTTTGTCATGTTGGCAATATAGACTTCAGAGATGCTATTAAATCCCCCCCCCCAGTTTTTCCCTTTTTCTCTTTCATACCACACACGCCTGCACGCATGCATGCACATCCCTACTGTTCATACTATAATTATATGGACATATGACTTGGGTTCTGCAAGTCACATTCTATGTTATACAGGCTTAAATCTGCCTTTATAACACTTTCACAGTTAGGGAAAATAGCTGAATGCAGATCTACCAAACTTTATCTTTTTTCTGATGCCAATATTGTGGACATTGAAGAATCTGACTCATACTAAGCTTTACCAAATGGATTTCATTTTGCCTCGGGTATGTGTGCCCAGTTCTTCTCTACTGTTTTACGCTTCCACGTGAAGACTTTGCCCCAGTTAAAAATCAGCTTTGGACATATCTTAGATATTGGATTTTGGCTCCTTCTGAGAGCTTAATCAGCCTTTTCTGGTTCTGGGCCAAATGATTTGAAAGAAGGCCCTTTATTTTGCAGGACTGGAGCTTCTGGATGGCCTGTTTTCCTGTTTTGGGGAAATATAAGCCATGCAACATTGATTAGGAACTTTGTACTCCCTGACTGCTTGGTATTAATTCTTATGCTTTTGAAATCACTCTTCCATTATCTTCATTTAGAATACAGAATAACAGAGTTGGAAGGGACCTTGGAGGTCTTCTAATCCAACCCCCTGCTCAAGCAGGAGACCCTATACCCGTGATGGCGAACCTATGGCATGTGTGCCACAGGTGACACGTGGAGCCATATCGGTGGACGCGCGAGTGTTGCCCTAGCTCAGCTCCAGCATGCATGCACGTGCCAGCCAGCTGATTTTCAGGCCTTCTGGGCCCACTGGAAGTTGGGAAATAGGCTGTTTGCGGCCTCCGGGGGGGCGTGGGGAAGGCTGTTTTCATCCTCCCCAGGCTCCAAGAAAGCCTCTGGAGCCTGGGGAGGGCAAAAAATGGGCCTACTGAGCCCACTGGGCCATTACATGCCAAAAGTGGGGGGACCGTGGAGGGGGTCATGTGTGTGGGGGTGGGGTGCATTGAATTATGGGTGTGGGCACGCATGTGCGTGACCCCTCTGTGCTCCCCCTGCTTTTGGCATGCAACGGCAAAAAGGTTAGCCATCACTGCCCTATACCCATGATGGCAAACTTATGGCATGTGTGCCAGAGGTGACACACAGCTCCCTCTCTGTGGGCACATGAACTTCGCCCCAGTTCAGCTCCGCCGTGCATGTGTGCGGACCTCCCGCTGGCCAGCTGTTCTTCGGGTCTCTGCCGTGCATGCACGGGGGGGCGGTGTGTGTGGGGCGCTCCCACATGCGTGGGGGGCAGAGTGCATGCGAGGGCGTGCATGCATGCATGGGGGGACAGGGCGCATGTGGGGGCCACATGCACATGCGTGGGTGGGTGGGGCGCATGCGGGGGCACACACATGCACAGGGGGGCAGGGCACATGCAGGGGCTGCATGCGCATTGCATTTTGGGGGTGCGGGTATGTGCATGCGCTTTGGGCACTCGGTCTGGAAAAGGTTATCTATCACTGCCCTATACCATTTTAGGCAAATGGATGTCCAATATCTTCTCTAAAACCTCCAGTGATGGAGCATCTGCAGCTTCTGGAGGCCAGCCGTTCCACTGATTAATTGTTCTCATTGTCAGGAAATTTGTCCTTAGTTCTAGGTTGGATTTCACTTCGATAGGCTTCCATTCATTACTTCTTGTCATGCCCTCAGGTGCCTTGGAGATACCTCTTCTCTGTGACAGCCCCTCAAATATTGGAAGATTGTTATCATGTCACCCCAGTCCTTCTCTTTGTTAGACATACCCAGTTCCTGCAGCTGTTCATAATATGCTTTAGTTTCCAGCTCCCTAATAATCTTTGTTGCTCTTCTCTGCACTCTTTCTAAAATTTAACCATCTTTTTTCTATTGACCAAAACTAGATGCAGTATTCCAAATGTGATTTTACCAAAGCAGGATAAAGAGATACTAATGTGACGTTGATACTATCCCTCTGTTGATGCAGCTTAGGATGTAATTGGCTTTTTTTGCCTTGATGATTTCCCTTTCTGTCTCCTCATTTATTTAACATCATTTATGAAGATGTTGACAAGTACTGGGCCTAAGACAGAACCTCCTTATGCTTCCCCCCCATGTAGATGTAGTTCCACTGAGGATTATCTCAGTGAGTTATGAATCCATCTGGTGGTGATGCTGCCTATTCCATATTTTTTTTATCTTACCAAGAAGTAGGTTGTGGTCTACTTTATCAAATGCCTTACTCAAGTCCAAGTATACTATGGATTCAGGATTTCTCTGGTTCACTAATTTAATCATTTTGTCAAAATACGGTTTGTCTGGCATTTCACCATGGAAAGTTGGGACCAATTCATAAATCAAAATACTCTTCTCACTACAAGTCTAACTAATGTATTCCTAGAAGATGCAGATCGGACTCTATCTCAGCACATCCAGTGGAAAAAAATTCTTTCACTTCTCTGCAAAATATTTAAATTATTAGCACTATTAGGAATTTCTTCCAGTAGAATCTGCCTCTCTGCATTTGTGGCTCTGCATCTCGGATTTCAGATTCTGCAAGAGGGTCAAGAAATTTATGCCAGCATGGTGAAGGGAAGGCAGACTTGAGCTCTGTCACTTTATAGCACATCTAACTTCCCAAGTGGATAATCTAGGGTGATTTGGAGATAAACCTGGAGATCATAAAGTTAGGGACAGCAATCTATTGACGGGTGAGTCTGCTACTTGAGCATTCAATGAGAAAGATCATGTTATCATCCTCTTAAAATAAATAATACTGGTAATTAAAACAGTAATAGTGTCACAGTAATTAAAATAGTAATGTAGATTTACTTTGTTTCATCCTTAATGTGCCAATGAATTGATGCTAATCTCAATAATTTCAATGCGGGGGTGGGAAAACTCTATTGTGCTGAATGATTTGCATTTGTAGTAACAATTTGGAGTGACAGCTCAACTAAGGTTCTTTTAGAAAACACTGTTATCAATCTGTTGAGCACTGAAGTAATAAGTTGGAGGAGGAATCTGCTTTGAGTGAACTTTCAGCTTAGCTGGTTAGCCAGATACAATGTCTGTAAGAAAAGATGACAAAAGATGCAGGGTGAGGTGACTGAGGCACAACAAGGCTGATTTGCACAGCAAGTGCAAAATGGTTGACGGAAAAATAAATGGAAAAGAGTTGGCGGTAGATAAGAAGTATCTCAGCCATCCAGAAAACAGTTTCCACAGTCTCCAAAGCACCTGAGGGTAGGACAAGAAGCAATGGGTGGAAACTAATCAAGGAGAGAAGCAACTTAGAACTAAGGAGAAATTTCCTGACAGTTAGAACAATTAATCAGTGGAACAACTTGCCTCCAGAAGTTGTGAATGCCCCAACACTGGAAATTTTTAAGAAGATGTTGGATAACCATTTGTCTGAAGTGGTGTAGGGTTTCCTGCCTAAGCAGGGGGTTGGACTAGAAGACCTCCAAGGTCCCTTCCAACTCTGTTATTCTATTCTATTCTATTCTATTCTATTCTATTCTATTCTATTCTATTCTATTCTATTCCATTCCATCCCATCCCATCCCATCCCATCCCATCCCATCCCATCCCATCCCATGAAGCGAAGTGCTTTGTACCATTTCTGTTCATTTCCAAGTAACAAATTCATGGCTTTTCTTTTTGGTCATTTTCAAGCACTCCAGGAAACCTGCTCGGGATGCTGAACAAGCATCCTATGATGCCAGCATCTTGTATGGAGATGTGATCTTCCTTTCTCTCATTCTTTCCTAAACTTTCAGGGCCATGGGGAACAAAAAGAGTTGGGATGTGGAACTCAATGGGACTGTGATTGTGCCGGAGACAAAGGCAAACCCACAAAAGGGGAAGGATGAGCTAGAAGAAAGAGGCCAGTGGACTAACAAAGTAGAGTATGTGCTTTCTGTGGCTGGAGAGATCATCGGTCTGGGAAACGTTTGGCGATTTCCTTATCTCTGCTACAAGAACGGAGGTGGTAAGTATCCAATATTCATAACTTGTCAGTGTCATGTAATTGCTTGGGATCGTTGCTTATTATGCAAGAGCTTTGAAACAAATGTGAAGTTGCAAATTAGCAAACCATGTGCAATAGAGAGATTAAAGCATAAAACTGGCTATAAACATTTACAATGTAAAATGAACAACTCACAATAAAGCCATCGGGTGATGGACCAACCTGTGAATCATCAGATAACATCTCATCATCGTATCTGGCGTGACAGATTGTTTGCACATTGTTTGTGCTGGCAATGCAAAATATTACGAGCCGCATATTTGTCCTTATCAGTAGGAAAATCACAAATCTGCACAGCCTTCCATATGTTAGACTTTCTGTTTTAAAATTGTGCCAAAATCCTTGATCTAGGGAAGAAGTAGAACGGACGAGGAATGAGAATGGATAATGACCATGTCAAATGATCATAAATATTCCTATTTATATTTATGACTATTTGATAGTAGCAGCTGTTGTCTGGAGTTTTACATATCTACTATACTTGGCAAGAGTCTATATGACTGGTGTAGCACTGGTGTTGTATTTAAAGAAATGAACAGATATAGGGAGAATGCAAGCCATGAAATGTCAATGAATAAGGGTGAACTTACCCCTACCCCAGGAGTCAGCAATCTGCGGCTCTGGAGCCACATGTGGCTCTTTCACCCCTCTGCTGCGGCTCCCTGTCACTCAAAATATGTGTCACAACTGCCAATGTGCGACACCTGCCGGCACCCAATTTATTGAGCTTTTCAAACCCTGGTAGGCCAACCATAGATAAATCCAAGAAAAGTTTCAGAAGAAAACAGAATGTTTAATTCAACTACATATGCAAGTTTTGTGGCCGCTCAAGAAATAGTCAGGTACGGGAAGGGTTTTGTGGCTCCCAGTGTTTTCTTTTCTGTGGGAAACAGATCCAAATGGCTCTTTGAGTGTTTAAGGTTGCAGACCCCTGTCCTAGCCCGTCTCTTCCATTCCAATCTAACTTGTGGAAGAATTTGGAAGAGGAAGTGCTAGGTATGGTTCTTGATCTTCTGGAGAACAATAGGACGTATAAGTCTAACAAACCTAAATAGCCTTTGTGGTTGTTATGGCACATTGTCACAATACAGGGACTTCCCTTTATACAGGTTGTCCTTGATTTACGACCACAATTGAGCCCAACATTTCTGTTGTTAAGGGAGACATTTGTTAAGTGAATTTTGCCCCATTTTATGACCTTTCTTCCTTCAGTTGTTAAGTGAATCACTGTGGATGAGAAGTTAGTAATCTGGTTGTTCAGTGAATCCGGCTTCCCCATTGACTTTGCTCGTCAGAAGGTCACAAAAGGGGATTACGTGACCTTGGGACACATCAATGGTCATAAATCTGAATCAGTTGCCGAGCATCTGAATTTTGATCATGGGGATGCTGCAAAGGTTGCAATTGTGAAAATCAGTCACTTTTTTTCAACGCCATTGTAACTTTGAATGGTCACTAAATGAACTGTTGTAAGTCGAGGACTACCTGTATATGTGTATCATACTTCATAGCAGGGGTGAAATGCTTCTGGTTCGGACCGGATCACCCAATCCGGTAGCAAAGATGGCGAGTGGTTCAGAGAACCAGTAGCAAAAATCCCTGCCCCCCCCATTGCCCAGCTGAGCCGCACAATCATCAGAGGCTTTTTGTTTTTATTTTTAAAAGCATTTTTTCTACAACTTCTTTGGCTGAAAAAATGCTTTTAAAAGAAAAAAAAAGCCTCTGATGATCGTACGGCTCAGTTGGGATCGTCAGAGGCTTTTAAAAGCATTTTTTCTACAACCTCTTCGGCCGAAGAGGTTGTTGAAAAAATGGTTTTAAAAGTTAAAAAAAAAAAGTTGTCCACGCCCACCCGGTCACATTACCCATAACCACCACCAAGCCACGCCCACAGAACCGGTAGTAACAAATTTTACATTTCGCCACTACTTCATAGTGCATATAGAAAAGAGGTGGGACTTGCATTACAATATTGTGTTGCTTCATCTTTTGATCCCCTAAGTTCCATTGCAAATACCAAAGTGAATGAATATGATAAATGAGCACACTGCCCCCAGAGAATTAATTTAAAATACAGATATTCCTGGGGAGAACCTACAGAGAGTGGTAGAGTCATCAGGATCTTTAATAGCACGACAGATCTTGTTTAATAGGGATTCCTCACATTTCTATAGCTACATTCCACCTGCGGTCTCAGTGTAGATTGTTGACTAAATAATGGGACAGGAAATCACATTTCCCCAGAGACAACGTATTGTGCTTGAGAAACTGGGAAGATGCTATCCTTCAGCAGAAGAGCTTGACGAAGTTCTGGTAACCAAAGGCTAACTAAATATTGCACATTGGATGTACTTGAAACTGTACATGTGTACACAGTTTTTTCTGTTGGGAATAGTTACGGATTGTACTGTAATAGAGACTAAGCTGGTTTTGAACTTAATAACAGCTGCCAGATTACTGGTGGCACAGTACTGGAAGAAGGAAGATCCACCTACTATTAAGGAATGGACATTAAAAGTTGTGCATCTGGCGGAAATGGCAAAAATTTCATCATACCTTAAAGACCATTCAAATGAGAGATATATATCGGAATGGAGAAAATGGATTGATTACATACAGAAGAAGTATCCGAATAAGAAGATTCATATAGCTTATGAATGAAATAATATTAAGTAGTTTATGTTTGTTTTTTCTGAGTTATAAGGAGTTAAGGACCTAGGGAGAATATGAAATGTAATAATTTGTTAGCACATTTTAGTTCTTGGTTTGTGAATGCTATACCCTGTGCTCGTTCTGGGAAGTCTAGGGAGGGGGGTGGGGGGAGGGAGGGGAAGGAAGGGTGGGAAGGGGAGGGGGGGTTGAGGGGGGAAGGGTGGGGGGGTGAAAATGTTTGCATTTTTCATAAAACTTTTCAATAAAAAAAAAAAGAAACTGTACATGTGGGAATGACCCACATTTGTGTAAAATACAGCTGACGATGCATTATTCCATGTATCTCATTGGGTTCAGTATGGATGCAAATTAACATGCCTTTAACATACCTGGCTAGGTGGCTCAGTGGCTAAGACGCTGAGCTTGTCGATCAGAAAGGTCGGCGGTTCGAATCCCTAGTATAGGTCTCCTGTGTGAGCAGGGGGTTGGACTAGATGACCTCCAAGGCCCCTTCCAACTCTGTTATCGTTATTTTCGGCCTCAAGTTCCAGTTATCCGGATTTAAATTGGTACTGAGAAAATAGTTGAGGATGTCAGAGGTCTAATGTTTTTAACTATGACCAGCATTCAGGCCAGAGGGAAATGCTCCTTGCTGAGGCCTTGTAGTTAATTGTCCATCATGGGAATGCATCTCACTCAGAGTTATTGTTGCCGGGACTAGACAAACAACCGTAGAAAACAAAATCAGGTTTTTTTTTTCTAGGAAACAGAATGTGAGTATTGCAAACAGATGGACTATTGCAACAGTCCAGAAAACACAGGTCACAAAGCATGTGTTTCTTTTTCCTTTTTTTTCCTTTTCCCCCCCCAAAGTGATGGAGCTTATACTTTATGGGTTGGCCACCGAGACAATTCATTTGAGCAAATTAGGAAGGATAGCTTGCAAGACACAAAGTCTATACTTCAAACTAGGGCATACAAAACTTTTCCCAGACCTATACTTGAATACTGCTCACCTGCCTGGAACCCTCACTGTATTTCAGACATCAATACATTAGAGGGTCCAGAGATATTTTATTAGAATAGTCCTCAAATCCTCTGCTCGAAATAAAATTCCCAATATCACCAGCCTTGACATTTTAGACCTCGATAGCAGGGGTGAAATGCTCCCGGTTCGGACCGGATCGCCCGATCCGGTAGTGATGGCGGCGGATGGTTCGGAGAACTGGTAGCAAAAATCCCTGCTCCCCCCACCCCCCAATGCCCAGCTGAGCCACACAATCATCAGAGGCTTTTTTTTTAATTTTTAAAAGCATTTTTTCTACAACCTCTTCCGACGAAAAAATGTTTTTAAAAGTAAAAAAAAAAGCCTATGATGATCGCGCGGCTCAGCTGGGATCCTCAGAAGCTTTTCAAAGCATTTTTTTCTTCAACCTCTTGGCCGAAGAGGTGGTAAAAAAAATGCTTTGAAAAGTCTCTGATGATCCCAGCTGAGTTGCCTGATCGCCAGAGGCTTTTCAAAGCATTAGAAAAAATGCTTTGAAAAGTTAAAAAAAAAAAAAAAGTTGGCTACGCCCACCCAGTCACATTAACCCCCCCACACCAAGCCACACCCACAGAACTGGTAGTAACACATTTTACATTTCACCCCTGCTCGATAGCAGTGGGGGAAGGGAAAGGGAAGTAGGAAAGAGAAGGAGAGGAGGAACAATGAAAGTAGGAGGAGAAAGAGGAAGGAAGAGAAGGGGAGGAGAAGAAGAAAGGTTGTGATAAAGGTAAATGGTAAAAGAGCAGCCCCCAAAAAGTAAAAATTAAAAATGAAAGTTAAAAGATAAGATGAATGAAAAATGATGGATAAATGACTGTAAATGTAAATGTGTTTATGAGAAATAAAAATAAAAACTTTTTTGAAAATAAATAAATAAATTTAAAAAGTCCAAGGAAGAAAATTCTTGCATTCCACAACTCCAAGCTCCACAAATACCCGAAAACTCTTGGAAAAGTCTGAGGATTCAAAGTTCCTATTCACTTAAAGGCCCCAGTCTCAGATTATTTAGTAAATTAAGCGCTATTGTGGTGTTGCCTATTCCCTCCATCTCTTTTATTCATTTACCATGCCCACAAATTCTTAAGAGTTTAATCTTATGTTCAGAACAAAAACTGGACTTTAGTTTCTTATTACTGCCTTCCTTGCTAATTCAGTTCTGATAGTCCTGTAGGCTCTGATACATAATCAGGGCTTAAATCAGTTGTTTTTCCAGATTTTCTACATCAAGTGAATGTGTCAATGTCTGAGATGGCGACATTGAGGCCATGCCCCCTGCGTGCCATTTCGGAGTTGCCACAAGCAAGGAGTGGGGAGGGGATTGCACAGGGTGCACAGATGGGTGTGAGGTATTGGGTGCCTTCGCCAGCCTCAAACACTGCTGCTCCTATTCCTCGCTCCTTCGTCTCACCGCCCGTGAGTCCCTCACGACTACATCCCTCACACCCATCTGTGCGCCCCGTGCAATCCCCTCCATCCTCCTCACTTGTGGCCTTGATGTCGCAGTCTCAGACGTTGACAGAGTGATTTAATAAGAGTGAAAAGTACCAAATTCAAGTGCGAAAGAAGGCCCGTTTTTATCTTTATATCTAATGTACGCGGATTTGCACATAGTCTATGGCAGGGGTCCTTAAACTATGGCCCAGGGCCGGATACGGCCCGCCGAAGCCATTAATCTGGCCCGTGTGGGACAATGAGGCTGCCCCGTCCATATCACCCCACCTACCTGCTGGCCCGCACCCGCCTTCTGGAGGCCAAGGCCAAAAACAGGACACGTGGAGGCCTCAGGAGGCCAAAGTGGGCGGCAAAGTGGTACTGGAGTGGTACTGTTATCCTCCCCAGCCTCCAGAGAGGGAAGGAGGGAAGGAGGGAGGGAGAGAGGGAGAGAGAGAAACACACGGGGGGAGGGAGGGAGACACACACACACACACACACACACACGCAAACAGAAGTCCCTCACCTGTCCCCAAGGCAGCCGCATCCCTTCACTAACCTGCTTTCCACCCCCAGGAGCAAAACAAATTAAAGTTTAATTTGTGTGTATTGTTTAATGGACTGCTAAATTGGCCACGCCCACCCAGTCACATGACCACCTAGCCACCGCCACCCAGCCGGTCCGGCCCCCCCCAACAGTCTGAGGGACCATGAATTGGCCCCCTGTTTAAAAAGTTTGAGGACTCCTGCTTTATGGAGAGATTAGAATTATGAAACATCCTGAAAATATACTTGGTGGTTTTGATTCACAGATCTCCGCCTTGGCCAAAAGTGCGGAATCAAGTTGTGAAATATCATTTTTTTTTAAAAAAAAAAAACCCAGCACTTTAATGGTGCTGCTTTTGTATTTCAATTAAGGAAGAAAGTGGGAAATTCTTAAATCAATGAATGTCTACTCTATTAAAAAGCCATTGCTGATGAACTATCTTTGGCTTCTATGATTCTATTTTCAACCAACTTTTATAGACTCGGGAAGCAATTTGCACAGAGGTTGTGCTGATAAGATAACAAATGAAAAGAGTAAGTTTGGCAAAGACAAAAAGGGTTGTTTCAGCATTCTCAAGTCCAAAGATCCATCGAGTTCATTTGCATTTTACATACCTTGAATGGTACAGATAGTCCTCAATCTACAACAGTTCTTGTAGTTACAGCAGCACTGAAAATATGATTTAGGACAGTTTTCGCATTTACAATCCTTGCAGCATCCCCATGGTCAGGTGATCAAAATTCGGACATTCGGCAAGCGACTCATGTTTATGACGGTTGCAGTGCCCCAGGGTCATGTGATGTCTTTTGCTTTTGCGACCTTCTGACGAGCAAAGTCAATGGGGAAGCCTAATGCCCTTAACAACCGTGTTAAGGACGTAGCATCTGCAGTGATTCGCTTCACAACCGTGGCAAGAAATATCTCACTTAACAACAGAAAGTTTGGGCTCAATTGTGGTCGTAAGTTGAGGACTACCTGTGCTCAGATGTTTTAATGTTTTTTTTTTTGCATTTTAAAGGTTTTTATTCTTTTTATTCTTTTGGAATGTTTTTAAGATTTTAATTGTAATACATATATTTTCGAATATCGTGAGCTGCCCAGAGTCATTTGTGGAGATGGGTGGTCATAGAAAAATAAAATAAAATAAAATAAAATAAAATAAAATAAAATAAAATAAAATAAAATAAAATAAAATAAAATAAAATAAAATAAATAAGCAAGCAAGCAAGCAAGCAAGCAAGCAAACAAATAAATAAATCACCAATCATCTCAAAGAATCTGCTAGTATATTAATGAGGCTGATTTCTACTTTTGTTTAGCTTGTGGTTTATAGCTAAATAAACCATGTATTACAAAAGACATTCTTAAGAGTCATCTGGCCTGGTTCCCAGGACAATCACACTTTGGCTAAAATGCTTGCAGCTTTGGAATTTTCCCTATTTGGAGAAATCTTAATATTAGGACCACCATTTCTGGGCTGCTGAAATCCAGATGCCACTGAACAGTAGCAAAGAGATGGAGAAACCATTAGCTTTTACAAGGCCGGATATGTTAGTCATACATGATAACCATTCAGTGTCTTTTTGATTCTATAACACAGCCTTCCTTAGCTGGTTGGATTACAATCTGTATAACCCCAGGCCTTTAACTTTCCTTACTGTTTCTATGTTCTCACCATTGTCTTCTTTCTCAAGCAGTTTTCATTAGGATCGGATTTAATGATAAACAGCAAGTGATACTTCAGAAGTTGATGAACAGTAACTACCAATATTCCTAGGAAGCATGACCTGCTTGGAAAGAAGAACAGTATTGCAAGTCAGCAATATCTTATATCAAGCCTTACTCTTGGCTTGATACAAGAATTTGGGTCACATTTTGGCCACCTAGAGTTGCCTCAAACAGTGACAATGGGCAATATATAGATTTAATTAATAAACAAGGGTGTGAAGTGCTTCAGATGCAATTCCCAAAAAGGGATTTGGAAAGAATCTTGCAGAACATGTCTTAGTTGCATCATTCTGGAAAAAAGCAGGGTGCTTAAAAAAAGCTGCAAAGAAGTGCTAGATTTTTGGTCCACATGTCTATGGAGATTCTCAATCATCCAGGTCATGGTTGTCCCAAGGGCAGTTGCCTTTTGAAACTTATCTTTTCAAAAGCACCTTTGGGACATTTGTAGTTCACCTGCTCTTAAATACCTTTTGGGTAAGAAATTACAAGTGCTGCAAAACATCGGTGGAAAATATGCATAATTACCCTACTCCAGAGGCCCTCCGGAGGCCAGAAACAGCCCATTTCCCAACTTCCAGAAGTCGGCAAACTGAGCTCGCGTGCCCACCGATATGGCTCCACGTGCCACCTGTGGCACACATGCCATAGGTTCACCATCATGGCCCTAGTGTGAAATGTTCTTTTTTTTCTTCTTCTTCTTGAAAGCACATTTAACAATTGACATTTGTTCCACCAACATTTCCTCCCTTTCTGTTACCAACAGGGGCCTTCTTAATTCCATATGCCATCTTTCTCTTTATCTGTGGAATTCCACTCTTCCTCTTGGAGACAGCCTTGGGACAATACACCAGTCAAGGAGGAATCACTGCCTGGAGAAAGATCTGTCCTATCTTTGAAGGTACATTGGTGGTACATCAGAAATCCTGGTAACTTTCCATCAAGAACTTGGTGTACTTTTTGATTTGATTCCCTCTGAGTTTCCTAGCCACAGGGCATGGCTGAGGGCCAAAGGCTGACAGTGCACCTGTTTCATCCTATCCTCAAAGATAAAAGTGTGAGTCATCCAGAGATTCTCTGTTGGAGGTAGAATTAGTGTTGCGTAACAAAGAGAGAGCTAAAGAAACGACCAGATTGGGGGGGACTGGGACAAGGCATGCCTAGAGTTGGAACGCATCCAGGATGCTGGAGAAAGCAAAGGGCAGATACTTGGAAATGGAATCTGGAATCAAAACAAAAAGACATGCCAGTGGTTACTTTTAAACATGTGATGGGATTTAGATGAAAGTAGCAGCAAAGCAAATTATGGACTGGGATAGATTTGTGAAGGCATCTCTTTCAAGAAGCAGCTGGATATCGAAAACTTTTTGAGTAGAGGTTAATCCTCTCTTGCAAGAGTTAGATTTTATTTATGTTAAATATGCACTCAGTTCTTTTTCTTCTGGCCAGCCAGCAAATCAGAGTCTGCGTCCTGCCCAGTAGAGAAGACTCTTGGCTCCATTCAGATCATGGACTAGCTTAACACATTTTAGCATAGTGGGTTGCCCCCACTCCAAAGTATATAGTCAGTTTGCAAATCAGTGTCTCAGTCAACCTCAATCAATTGTGTTAGTGGGTTGTTCAAAAACAACCAACTTACATAATTTCAACCTGCAGATGGGAAATGTCGATTTTAATCATTTCTCATGAGCAAAAGTTTCATGCATGGGGCTTTGCAGATGTGGCGGACCCCAGTTTCCAACAATGAAACAGCTTGGGAGATAGGCTGAGGAAAATAGGAATAACATTGGATGTACTAAAGCAGAGGTCTCCAAATTTGGCAACTTTAAAACTTGTGGGCTTCATCTCCCGGAATTCCCCAGCCCCAAGTTCTTTGTCTTCAGCTCTAAAACAGGAGGACATTTTCAACCATGTTATAAAGAGAGGTTTGGAGATCAAGGGCCGTTTTTGTGTACAGAGAAGTGGAAGAGAGATGGATTGCACAGTTAGAAGTGTTCACTCATTATGGGTGATGTTCAGTGGGCGAACCGCTAGCGGCGGTGGTGGGAGGCTCCGCCCACCCACCCAGACATCATCAAAAACACTCTGTGCATGTGCAGAAGCACCGCACGCTACCAATAGCGAACCGGTACTGCCGGGATTTAAATCCCACTATTGGTGATGTTGTAGTAACTGATGGTACACCACACATCATACAGCCAGCCATTTGTACTGCTAGGACACACAGCTGAGTACTGGGCTCCTCCTCCACTCTGTCCCCCAAATTATTCTTCCTGGATCAGGTAGAGCTTCTTAGCTGTTCCTTCTCCATTCTCCTATTTATGCTACTCAGAGAGTTCAGCATTCCTTAAGTCTTCTGCAGTTTTCCAGATGTGATGGATTACAACCAGTGCTGAATACAATTCAAAGGCCAATCCCAATTGGCTGCTGGAAATAGAATGGGAGGGTGCTCATTGGGTCTATCTCAGGCAGCAAAATGAGAAGGGTTGGCAGAAATACAACAGACGCCATCCGCGTTAGAATGTGTCTAATGAGAGCAACTGTAAGGAAGTCGGCCAACAGAATAAGAACAAAATTTATAAATTGTACATTAGTTTAGATGCTTTGCTCTACAAACAACTTTACAAAAAAAATTGAAAAGCAAGGGTTTTTTTCAAATGTATATTGATAGGGTTTTTTAAAAAAATATTTTATTTATATAATGCATGTTGGTGCAAACAAAGCACAGATTATGACAGTTATCCCCCCCCAAATCTATAGTGCCAAACTGAAAGTGGTATTTCTGACTATGGTCATTGAAAAATGTCCTGATGGAAACGTTGCTGCGTCATTGCAGATTATTTTTAAACCAAGCTGGGCCAGCGTCAACATTTGGAGTGGTGTCAAAAGAAGAACCAATAAAGCATCTTATAAATTAGGGTGGGGGCAAAGAATAAGCATACAAGATCCCTAACCCCTGCACCCTAAACTGCAGACCTAAAGTTAAGGTGGGTTAAGTTGATAGTACAATGAAACAGTGTGAAAGTACAGTTCTTACCAGTATCCTATAGCTTACATTGCATAGACTGAATCTACTGTTTTTTCCCCAGAGTTTTCCATTTTGTCTCATGTATATTGTTAGCATCCAGAAACATCAGCAAAGAAGAGTTCAATCATCCCACAGGCTTTCCATTGTACATATTTCAAACAAGAGCTATGTTTGGGCTATGATGCATGACCAATCTAAAGGCCAAATTGCATGTGATGATAAATACATATTTCATCAACAATGCTCAATCTAACAATTTCATTTGAGATGTAGATCAAGGGCACTGCACCGTTTTCAAAATAAAACTCTGCGCTGAGTTTTGCTCCCAAAAAATTCACAACAAAGAAGCTGTCAAAACCAATATTGGATTTTTCCTCTTCTTCCTCCTCCTTCAACTTCTATGCCTGACCTTGGAGGGGAAGTGGGAAGAATCTTATTGTCTCTTGGATGATGTCCAAAGGATATCAATTTTAGCTAGCATATTATTGAAAAACTAGCTAATATTGCTAATAGTTCAGGCCTGTCAAACTGACCCGCGCAGGCCACACCCACCTCGGCTCCACAAAGGAAAGACACATCGTAATATGTCACGATATGGCCCACAATGTGATCGGGTTTGACACCCCTGTAAATAGTTAGTTCAGTGTGAACACGTAAACCCAGAAAAGTGTTAATTGAACAAACCACACTTTGATTACCCATGGATTGGTGTTTTATGTAAACACACCTTCTATGCAGTCCTAGCATTAAAAATGATGGAGACTCCATTTACTCTCTAATCAACACTCATTGAATCAAAGCAGTGGTGGAATTCAATTTTTTTTACTACCGGTTCTGTGGGCGTGACTTGGTGGGTGTGGCTTGGTGGGCATGGCAGGGGAAGGATATTGAAAAATCTCCATTCCCACCCCACTCCAGAGGAAGGATACTGCAAAATCCCCATTCCCTCCCCATTCCTGGGGGAAGGATATTGCAAAATCTCCACTCCCACCAGTGGTGGGTTGCCCCCGGTTCGCACCGGTTCTATAGAACCAGTAGTAAAACTGGTGGGAGGCCCCGCCCACCGACCCCTACATCACCAAAATGCTTCTGTGCATGCGCAGAAGAGAGCGCGCACGCACGAGTGAAGCGAGTGTGCATGCGCGGCCCCGCTGCGAACCGGTAATAAAGGTAAGTAGAACCCACCCCTGATTCCCACCCCACTCTGGGGCCAGCCAGAGGTGGTATTTGCCGGTTCTCTGAACTACTCAAAATTTCCGCTACCGGTTCTCCAGAACCTGTCAGAATCTTCTGAATAGCACCCCTGAATCAAAGGCAGTTGCCCGCTTCCCATTTCCTGATTGAACTCTTACCTATCTTTTCTCTTCTTTCAGGAATTGGATATGCTTCACAAGTGATTGAATCTTATCTGAATATTTATTACATTGTCATTCTGTCTTGGGCCCTATTTTACCTCTTTAACTCCTTCTCAGCTGTATTACCCTGGTCCAATTGCAACAATTACTGGAACTCAGGTAGGTACATACCTGCAACTATCTGCAGCATATAACAACAGTAATAACAGTACATCTACTATTGGCTTTGAGTGACAAAACAACATGGACTTATGATATGTGCACCAGTACCTTTAGATCAGTGATTCTCAACTTTGGCAGCTTTAAAATGTGTGGACTTCAACTCCCAGAATTCCTCAGTCAGCAAGGCTGGCTGGGAAATTCTGGGAGCTAAAGTCCACACATCTTAAGGTTGTCAAGTTTAGGAAGCACTGCTTTAGGTGAATGGCATGTTACGTTTTCTTTCTCTGACTCAGTAAATGTGTTACATATGTGGGGTGTGAACTTCTTGAAATTGAAAAACCTTGGCATTCTTTCACTTAGAAAACAAATTCCTTATGTAAAGAAGACCTTTTAAAATTGTAGAACTTTTTGTTTTGGTTGTATTTGTGTGTGTGTGGGGGGGGCTGATGCAGCTCCTCATTAAGGGAAGGTTGCAAAATTATAAGTAGATTGCAACCACCAGATTTGTGTTTGTGTTGTTTGGATAGGAAGCAGAGAGGCTTCATCTCCATCTTTTCTTTCCTACTTACCCAGCCAACTTTTCACACCTCCAATGAATTGGAATAAAAAATCCCATCCCATTAAAAATGATGGCAGAAGTAGCTTTGGGTAGGCTAAGGCTCAAGAGGGAGCAGATGATGAAAGGATTGTCATGCCAACATCATGTAAGCTCTACTTAAGGGGTGTCAAACTCAAGGCCCGCGGACCGGATGTGGCCGATGGGGCCACCCTGAAAACAGTGAAGGATCGGCCCGCGGTGCCTCTGCTAGCGAAAATGGAGCATGGGAGGGCCGCACATGGCCCCCCTGAATTCCATTTTCATTATTTATTTATTTAATTTATATACTGTCCTTCTCCCAAAGGGACTCAGGGCGGTGTACAGCCAGCATAAAACACACAAATATAAAATTTAAAAACAATTTAAAAATATTAAATAGTTTGGCCCATATCAAATTAAAATAAAACTACCCGATTTAAATGTTTTAAAAAAATTAAGAATTGACAATTAAAAATTTTAAAAAAATAAAAGTGTCTTGAGGGCCCCACGGAAGGTGTGTAAGTCGGGAATCCTCCGCATCTTGGGGGGAAATTCGTTCCAGAGGGCAGGAGCCCCCACAGAGAAGGCTCTCCCCCTGGGGGTTGCCAGCCAACATTGCTTGGCTGACGGCACCCGGAGGAGCCCCTCTCTGTGGGAGTGAATTGGCTGGTGGGAGGCTATTTTGCTGCCAGAGGGTTGCAGGAGGCTGTCGCAGCTGAAAACGGAGCTCACAAAGGCCGCGGGCAGCTCTCCCCCCCCCGAGCTCTGTTTTTTCTGGCAGAGGGTTGCAGGAAGCCGTTGCAGTTGAAAATGGAGCTCGGAGGCCATTTTTGCTGGCAGAGCACTTGGGCCACCACAGGCGCCCCCGACACGAGTGACGTCGAGCTCGCCATGCCCACCTTGGCCATGCCCACCCTGGCCCTGAGGTCAAACACAACCCTGATGAGGCCCTCAATGAAATCAAGTTTGACACCCTTGCTCTACTTCTTTGTACATGCATTATGATATACTCATATGAAAGTGATGAAACGTATGTCACAATGGTATGGTCGTACTTCTATCATTTTAACACTTCTGATCTCGGCATATCTGGACGGTAGGTTAGTGGAGGTGGTTTTTGCACTTTTGTCAAAAGCACTGAAGCGCTTCTAGGTTGAAAGGATTAGCCAGTGACATCACTGTTGTCTTGGGCATGCCCAGTTGGGAGCTCCTTTCATGTCCCTGGCAGGAGTTGGAGTGAAGGACGAGAACTCAACCCTGCCCCATGGCAGCTGTTGGGTCTCGAACATGGGCTTGCTAACCTCCTGCTCATCATTCCAACCACTCGAGCCACCAGGCTCCTTTAGTGGAGATGGCTGAAAACCATTCTCCCATCAATAAATTCAAACTCTTCTCTACAATCTTAGCACACCTCTCTGATTCTTTGGGATGCAGACCATTTTTAAAAAGTTGGTCTCAACCTCTGGCCTCAAGAATGATGGCATAAACTGAGTCTGCCCCATAGTAATCAGATGCAGCATAATTCCTTGCCTACCTCTTACATGCCAGTGGCTACCCATGTCTTTATTTAGGCAGAATTCTATTTGTTTTATTTCATGGAAATGGATAAACTCTGGAAAAGCAGGGCAACCCAATAATGATTCAGGTTGACCTCTGAACATTTTTAAAGTTCTGATATACTCTGCTTTGCATGTTCATTTTACCTCCTTTCTCTGGGGGTGGGGTGGGGGGATGTAGAATATGAGTGTTATTCTCCATCCTCCGTCATTCAGCCCTTCAAGGTAGATCAGACTAAATCAATGTCATGTATGTCTGTAATATGTTTATCGTTAATCTACACTAATGGAATCCTAGAAGATTGAATGCATTCCCATCACCTCATCTTTATGTAAGACATTTACTCACATTACATTCTTACCCTGAACACAGAACTCTTTTCTCTGACCATTGTCTTTGCCTTCTGTCTCTCAAGGCCATTCCCTTACCCTCTATATCTCCCTATAACCAGATGTTTATGTCCCACTGTAGACACACCGTCTACTTCTGTTCTATAGTCAACCTTTTCTCTACACATCTCTAGGAGACAGCAGGGCAATTAGACAACTTTAAACCCCAGATTTAGTGTTGTAAAAGAGGGGGTTGCCTTCCCAGAGGAGAATGGGACAACTTGCCACAGCCAATTTGCTGTGGCCAACTCACCACGGCCAACTCACCACAGGACAACTCACTGTGAGGCAATTTAACAATTCTATTTAATTATTTAAAGTAAATAAAAAGTTATTTTAATTTTTGCCCTTCGCATTTCATTCTGTCCCTCCTTTTGCATCCTTTCTGTAATGATTCTATTCCACCATTTCTTTGATATTAGTATTTCTTGTCCCATAGCAAGTTGTCTTGTGGCAAGTTGGCCATGGTGAGTTGTCCCACAGCAAGTTGGCCGTAGTAAGTTGGCCATGGTGAGTTGGCCATGTCAAGTTAGCCGTGGCGAGTTGGCCTCAGCAAATTGTCATAGACCCTCCAAGAGATGGTAGCAATGGACACTTCACTTCCTTTGAAAAATAACGACCCAATCTTGCTGTATTTGGGAATCCTTTAGCTAGTTTTACCAAAGGGAATCTAAAACTTCTAAGTCCTCCATTGATGGCACCACTAGAAATGAAGCTGAGTCCTAGCAAAGAAAGAAATTTACAGGATGGTGTGCAACATTATGTATTCCCCCATGTTTCTGTTGTGTCCCCTAGGCAGTAATAAAACCTCACACAATGTTTATCAGGTGCAATTTCCTCACAGTGTACTACTTCAACATCCAAACCTCCTTTTTGGCTATTCCTGTCTTCCTGCTGGCTTATTCTCCCAAGTTCCTTAAAGACAGAGGGTATATTTCTCTCCCTCAGAACATCGCATGATTCAGCTTTTACATAACCCAATGTTTTGTCCAATTTGGCAGATGTCTTGTTTGGACTGGCCATCTTTCAGCTTCAGCTTGTCACTGGTTTTGTTCAACTTTACCTCCTGTGAAGCTTTTCTGATTTGACTGGTCAACCTGGGGCTCATACAGCACCGTCAAAGGTTTCCCGTACTTCCTACTTAATTAAATAATAAGTTTAATTAAATAATAAATAAGGAGATGTGTGTCAAAAGTCAAGATAGCAACCATGATTGTTTTTCTCTGTGGACATTCCTATCTCATAGGAAAGTGGGAAGCTCCTCCCCCCTCTCCATCAAACATTTGTACATATGAAACCCATTTCTTTTAAAACATTTACAAAAGGTATAAATCTACTACTGTATCTCTTTTATCTCTAGTACCTATACCTCTAGTACCTGGCCTTTTAAAATTTATCTCATGTCTTTTCCACTCTTTTCCTCATATGCTCTCCTAAATCAGCATCTGGCTTTGATCTTCCGAGCCAGCCACATTCATCTGGTCTCTCTCTTCCATGTATTGGCATCCACTCTGTGTGTGTGTGTGTGTGTGTGTGTGTGTGTGTATTGTTGTTGTTGATGATGATTATGATACAAGGAAGGCTTGCATCATGACCATTCCACCATTTTGTCTTCTCGATACCAGAGCTTCCATGCAATACTTCTCTGTCTTATTCAATGACATATAATTGCTAATGTTCCATAATCAATTTTTCCTAACTTTTTCCTTATAACTTTGCTGTAAATAGTCTATCTTTCAGATTCTGTTGAATCTCTCAAACATGTTAATCTCCCATTTGCTTGATAATAATACATTGAAGCCCTCCTCTGTAATTTTATTCTTTGCTAAACATTTTCATCAGTAAATTGCCTCCCATTGCCTCCTTCCCTACTAAAAGCAACAGAACAATATAGCAATAGCAATAGCATTTAGACTTATATACCGCTTTACAGTGCTTTACAGCCCTCTCTAAGCAGTTTATAGAGCCAGCATATTGCCCCCAACAATCTGGGACCTCATTTTTCCCACCTCGGAAGGATGGGAGGCTGAGTCAACCTTGTGCCAGTGGGACTTGAACTGCTGAACTGCTGGCAATCAGCAGTCAGCAGAAGTAGCCTGCAGTACTGCACTGTAACCACTGCGCTACCACGGCTCTTCAATATTCAGTCTTTCCTGCTGAAGTGAAGCTACTTCTGGCCACTTATAATAGTCAAGCAACATTATAGCACAATGGTAACCCACTGGAATCCTATCAAAGGGTCCTACAATGTCAATCACTACATTCTCTGAAGAAGGACCTGGAAGTAGCTTAGATGTAATGGTGTAACCCCTCCATTCAATTTCCTCAGGTCTCATGCTGCAAACCTCTCCTACCCATGACCGTAAAAACTGCTGCTGAACTACATAACCAAAAGTTACCTTTACAGGTAAACATACCTGAATTTTAGTTTGACAAGTCATTGGGCTTGAAAAGAGCCAGTTTGATCTAGTGATTAAGGCACCAGGCTAAAAACCAGGCAGACTGTGAATTCTAGTCCTAGAAAGTGAATTCTAGTCGTGAAAGCTTTTACACTCCCTCAGCCCAGCACACCCAGCGGTGAAATCCATTTCCCTTTGCTACTGGTTTGGGAATGGGAGCGCGTACGCCTCTTCTGCCCATGTACAGAGCCTTTTGCGCATGCGCAGAGGATAAAAAACAGGACGTAATGATGTCCCGGCGGGTGGGCGCAGCTTCCCACCGCCGGCACTACCGGTTTGTGCGAGCCAGATAGATCCGTCTGGATTTCACTGCTGAGCACACCTCATAGTGTGGTTGTTGTGAGGTAAATAACAGGAGGAAGGAGTATGATGTATATCTGCTGCCTTGAGTTACTTACTAATTAATAAAGGTTGGATGAAAATATAATAAACAAATAAAATAAAATAAAAAATAAGTGCCAAACTGTCAACATTTTGAACCACGGGCAGACTCTGGCACTATAGAACGTTTATCCGATGTCAGTTCCATCTCTTCTGCGGTGCATCATTTTCTATCCAAGAGAAATAAAACCAGTATTATTCTTTCATAAAAATAGTAACATTTGGTTCTGTGGCAACATGCATTTGCCTGATTAAATGGATTACTACAGCTTGTTTATTAGAAGCAACTTTCTTGCAACAGCAGCATATTGACACCCAAACTAAACCTTTGGCTACTCAGTCCTTCCTCCCGGTTTACACTTCCAAGCCCCTTAAAGGCAAGGTACGCAGAGTATTCGAGAGCCACCCATTCTGTGCTTCGCGACCTTTCTCCTACTTTTTCTTCTCTACATTAGTCACACTTTTTCCATAATATCCTCTCATCCTCTTATTTATCTAACACTCCTAGATGCTTTGGTGGTGTCCTCTGTCTCTAGATGATTTTTACAAACAGCTTTTTCTGGGGCAGCTGCATATATGAAAAAGGGTGTGGGGGGACAGAATGTACACAGAGAGACAAATGTGAAGAGGAAGGAAGGGGTTTGGGTCTGCAATCCTAAATTACGACAGTCAGCATGACTTGATAACAATCTGCATTCCAGAGACATCTGGATTTCATATATGTTTGAGGAACTGCCATGTCGTTCAGGAGCCCCAGACAGGAGGAATCCAATAAAAGGAAGGATGGATGTTTTAATAAAGCCTCAGGGTTTCTCTCAGAGTCAGTTTTCTTGGAGCAGAAACATTTATATTGCTAAAAGCCTCTCAGCAAAGTTGAATTGAATTGAGTACTTTATTTAGCCAAGTGTGATTAGACACACAAGGAATTTATCTCCGGTACAAAAGCACTTAGTGTAAATGCAAAGCAACAGAATAGTAATAATGATGATGATGATGATGATGATGATGAATAATAATAATAATAATAATAATAATAATAATAATAATAATAATAAAGAGCCAAGGTGACGCAGTGGTTAAAGTGCAGTACTGCAGCTACTTCAGCTGACTGCTAGTTCAGCAGATCAGCAGATCAAATCTCACCGGCTCAAGATTGACTCAGCCTTACATCTTTCCGAGGTGGGTAAAATGAGGACCCAGATTGTTGGGGCCAATATGCTATTTAGTATACTGTCTTTGGTGTAAGCCGCCCACAGTCCTCGGAGAGTGGGCGGCATAGAAATGTGAAATAAATAAATAAATAAATAAATAAATAAATAAATAATAATAATACAGCCAATAAAAGGGGGAGTAAAGAAGATAATAAGTATAAGTAATAATATTACAGCCACAGTACAGTAGTGGCCAAAATTGTGGAAACATTTGGGAAAAGTGTATTTTCTAAAACTAGCTAATAACACCACCTTTTTTTTTTTTGGAGTAGTACCATAAAATTTTATATCAATGGAAAGATAATTTAATCAAGAATGTAATGCAATAACTTTTATGAAGGATTTGCTATTAGAATAGCAGTTACAGTATAAAGAATAAAAGTGAAACCCGTAGAAAGAACGAGATATACAAAAATTATCACATCAGTTAATCCTTAGTTGGGTAACCTTTAGCATGAATTACAACCTTACAACATCTTCCCATGGAGTGAACGAAGTCTTTTAGTTCTGCAGCTGTTATAATGTGAAACCAAGAATGATTGCTTCTATTAACTGGGTTTTATTGCTGGGTCACTTCTGACTAGCAAGTTTCTTTAGTCGGCTCCATAGATTTTCAACTGGGTTAAGGCAGGGGTGAAATGCTCCCGGTTCGGACCGGATTGCCCAATCTGGTAGCGATGGCAGTGGGTGGTTCGGAGAACCAGTAGCAAAAATCCCTACCTCCCCCATGCCCAGCTAAGCCGCGCAATCATCAGAGGCTTTTTTTTTTTAAAAGCATTTTTTCTACAACCTCTTCGGCTGAAAAAATGCTTTTAAAAGTAAAAAAATCAGCCTCTGATGATCGCGCAGCTCAGCTCGGATCGTCAGAGCTTTTAAAAGAAAAAAAAGTCTCTGACAATCAGGCAACTCAGCTGGGATCGTCAGAGGCTTTTAAAAGCATTTTTTCTACAACCTCTTCGGCTGAAGAGGTTGTAGAAAAAATGGTTTTAAAAGTGAAAAAAAAATTGGCCACGCCCACCCAGTCACATTACCCCACCACCACCACCAAGCCATGCCCACAGAACCAGTAGTAACAAATTTTACATTTCACCACTGGGATAAGGTCTGGGCTATTCCTAGCCCATTCCAGCAGTGGAATATGATTATCTTGAAACTCCAAAAAAAAGTGGTGTTATTAGCCATCAAACCTCAATAATACACTTTTCCCAAAAAGTTTCCACAATTTTGGCCACTACTGTATATGGGTTAATAGACATTAAGCAGCAAATTAGGTGTTCAGTAGAGTGATGGCCAGTACAGTTAGGATGCAGTGGCTCAGTGGCTAAGACACTGAGAAGGTCGTCAGTTCAGCGGTTCGAATCCCTAGCGTCGCGTAACAGAGTGAGCTCTCGGTACTTGTTCCAGCTTCTGCCAGCCTAGCAGTTTGAAAGCATGTAAAAATGCAAGTAAAAAATAGGGACCACTTTGGTGGGAAGGTAATAGCGCTCCCTGCACCTTCGGCATTGAGTCATGCCGGCCACATGATCACGGAGAACGTCTTCGGACAACGCTGGCTCTTTGGCTTAGAAACGGAGATGAGCACTGCCCCCTAGAGCTGGAAACGACTAGCACACATGTGCAGGGGAACCTTTACATTTAGAATGATGGCACGAGGGGAAAAAACTGTCCCTGTGTTTAGTTGTTTTGGCTTGCAATCCCTTACAGTGCCATCCTGAGGGAAGGAGTTGAAACAGTTTATGTCCAGGATGTGAGAGGTCTGCAGATATCTTCTCAGTCCTTCCTCTGGCCCACACAATATAAGAGGTCTTCTATGGAAAACAGGCTGGTTGCAATTGTTTTCTTAATTGTTTTCTGCAATCTTAACCAGTGGTGAATTTCAATTTTTTTTTTACTACCGGTTCTATGGGCATGGCTTGGTGGGTATGGTGTGGCTTGGTGGGCGTGGCTTGGTGGGTGTGGTAGGGGAAGGATACTGCAAAATCCCCATTCCCTCCCCACTCCTGGGGGAAGGATATTGCAAAATCTCCATTTCCACCCCACTCTGGGACCAGCCAGAAGTGGTATTTGCCGGTTCTCTGAACTACTCAAAATGTCCGCTACCGATTCTTCAGAACCTGTCAGAACCTGCTGGATTTCATCTCTGGTCTTAACTATCCGTTGGTGTCTGTATCTGTCCTATTTGGTTGCTGTACCACACCAGATAGTTTGGATTCTGAATGGATGTTCTAAGCGCGTGGAGATTTATACTGATTATGGGATTGCAGCAGTTGACCTTCAAGATCTCTTCCTACTCTTACATGTGTCTCTTTTTCTCCTGGCAGAATACTGTGTGGACGTTCTGAATGTCTCCGATTCTGTGAATAATACTAACGCCACTTCTCCAGTTATCGAGTTTTGGGAGTACGTATTTCAATTGTTCGGGTTATTTATTTCCTTTCCTTAAATCCCTTCCCTAGGATTTAGAGGGAATATATGTAGATCTGGCCTTGCTGAAGTCCAAAGGGAAGGAAATTCATAGGCTGCAGGTGGAGAAAACATGGGGTTCATCCTCAGGTTTTTGAAGTAGTGAGGCCTACAGAAAAAGCAGGCATTGCATACATCTACAGCATATCCACCATCCCAGGGGTGTCTGCGGGGATGGTTAAAAAAAATATCAAGATGGCAGCACTGCATTCCACATCATCTGCAATTGATGGTTGCTTTTTCCCTCTTCCTACCAGATTTCTTTACCATCCTAAACATCCGGACAGCATCTTCTCAAAAATATAGCCTCTAAAATAATGTGAGGCATGTACTGTAAATCGTTGGTAGACTTTCTTATATATTTATTTGTCACATTTTTATCTTATGTTTCATCCCGAACTCAGATATCACTGCAGTTGCAGTATGATGGCTGGGCAAGGAGGCTATTTTGAGAATAGCAGAGAGAGAAATCCAAATATTTAGGTTAATAAGAGAAGGTAAACAATCAGCAGGAAAGCAACCTGATGGTGACATGATAATAGCAGTAGGCTCTAAATGAAATACTTCATAGGATTAGGGCTTTCTGCACTTTCAGTTTTTATTGCAAAAAGTATCTATATTGCAAAAATTGACCAGTTTTTCCTGTTGAATCATAGTGCTAAACTATACTGTATAAATATTATGCTGCTTTTTCCCACCCTCACTGTCTCTTTCGAGGAGGAATGTACATGTCATCAACTCAAACCTAATTAAGTCATTGATTAATTTCTGGGGAAAGTGGCTAAATTTTATGAAGGCAAGTGGGAAATACACGCCATTGACTATCCATAAGCTTATCAGTATCGTCAACACATTTTCTCTCTCCCTCAACACTCTGTCACCAATAAAGACTGTACAGTTTGTAGCCTTTAGTCTGGATAGCAAGGATAACCAGCACTATCATTATTCTGGTAAGATCGAGGAATGGTTTATGAGAATGACCTTGGGAGACAAGAGGAAGAGCCACAGCCTTGACAATAATCATACATAAGGTATCTCAGCCCACACAAGGATAGTTGGAATGGGGACATCTCATAAGGGACCCTTTTCTGAAAAGTAAAAGAAGGAAAAGTACTTTCAAACTTGCAAGATTCTGTTAGCTTACAATAAGTGTTAATAATGGTTTGTGCTTTGGGGCTTCAGGACTTTGAAGGGCTAACATAGGGGTGTCAAACTAATGGCCCGGGGGCTGGATCTGGCCCACAGGGTGCTTAAATCTTGCCCATGGGGCTGTCCTGGAAATAGCGAAGGACTGGCCCGCGGTGCCTCTGCCAGCAAAAACGGAGCTTGGGAGGCCTGCATGCAGCCTTCCCGAGTTCTGTTTTCACTGGCAGAAGATTGCAGGTGGCCATTGCAGCCAAAAATGGAGCTCGGGAGCCTGTTTTCACTGGCAGAGCACTCAGGCCACCACAGGTACCCCCAACACAAGTGATGTCGAGCTGGCCACAAAGTGATGTCGAGCTGGCCACAACCCCCCCCCCCAAGGTCAAACACGACCCTAATTCGGCCCTCCGTGAAATCCAGTTTGACACCCCTGGGCTGACAGATACTGTTGTGTCTAACCTGCAATGGCCAAGTTAAACTCAAGACGTTTAGTGAGGAAAAGCTATCAAGGAAGCAGGTATGAAGGGTTAATAGGAGCTGGCAGAAAGATGCCTCACCTCCCCCATCTTTTCATCTGTCCTCTCAGGAGGCGAACACTGAAAATAACAGAAGGTCTTCACGATCTGGGCACTGTGCGCTGGGAGTTGGCTCTCTGCCTCTTGCTGGCCTGGATCATCTGCTATTTCTGCATCTGGAAAGGAGTCAAGTCCACTGGCAAAGTAGGAGTTACTCTTTGCTTGGTTAATGCTTAAATTGCTTTGCTTTGCTCTGTCCTGTCAGTCTTTTTGCATCAGAGAGTAGCAGGATGAAAGTATGCATGGAATATATGCATGTCTATGTGGAGGAGGAATATTGGAAACAATTTGATCCATTTTAGTGGGTATTAAGACCTGAGAAAAAGGTCAAATTAAAGCCCTTTCCGTAATTCTTATAGCAATAACTGCCTTGGTGGCACAGCAGACTAAAGTGCTGTTAAGTAGTACCAGCTGCCTGCAATTACTGCAAGTTCGAATCTCACCAGTCTCAAGGTTGACTCAGCCTTCCATCCTTTCGAGGTAGGTAAAATGAGGACCCGGATTGTGGGGGCAATAAGCTGACTTTGTATAAAAAAGAACACCGCTTGGGGGGCCCCCGAAAGCCCTACTAAGCAGGTATATACAAAAGTATGAAGGCTATTGCTTAACGCATTGTAAGCCGCCCTGAGTCTCCGGAGAAGGGCGGCATATAAATTGAACCAAATAAATAAATAAATAAATCACAATCAAACTTCAATTTTGTACCTTCAGATATTTCAGATTACAAATCCCATGACAGCCAATAGCGTAGTACAGAGTGATAGGAACTGTAATCCAACATATGCAAAAGACTCCAGGTTGGGAAAATTGATCTAGTCCATACTTGGGTCACATTCCTTGATCAAAAACTGTAGCTTGGACCTACATTAATTTCAAGAATAGCATTCACTTGTGAGAATTTTTTCAGTAGGAGGCGACAATAGTTACTACATAGGAAAGTTCATGGAGTGCAGGTATACCAGCATTTGAGGTATCAATAGTCTTGTTCAACTTCTGTAAACTTCCTGTAGAACCAACTTATTCTAGGTTTTACTAGCTGTTAGAAATCAGAGGCAGAAGAATCCTCCTGCTTCTGGATTTCCCAGAACCATTGAAGTAGCCACTATTAGAAACTTACTATTATTGATAATACTGTGTTTCCCCAAAAATAAGACCCTGTCTTATATTTTTTTTGAACCCTGAAATAAGCGCTTGGCCTTATTGCAATGCACTCAAAAGCCCGATTGGGCTTATTATTAGGGGAGGTCTTATTTTGGGGGAAACAGGGTACATCTAGTCCATTTGTGAGATTGGGTTTAAGGAACATTGTTAACAATAATTCCTTACCTTCCTGTTGGGGCCCTTTTTAGAGGTAACATTGGGAAACTATTGTTTAATCTTTAGATTGTTAACCTCTGATGTTCTACGGAACATCATAGGTTAATAGTCTAGGCTGGAGGAGGTCACCTGGAATATTACAACATTCCACTCAATTTCAGGGAAGCCTTCATACTTTTGAACGTTGCCTAAGTTAATAATGGGCTAGATGAGGAAAACAGGCTGACGTTACCTCTGGATAAGAGAGAGGTGTTGTAGATAAAGAGGAAACTGGATCTGAACTTTTTGGCTTGGGCAATATTTGTTCATGCTTTGATTGTATGCCAACTTGACTACTGCAAATAGATCAACTGGGTCTCTTCTTGAAAAGTATGAGGAAGTTGCAGTTGCTGTAAAATGCACAGCTACACTGCTAACCAATCCCTAAGTGGCATTGGTTGCCAATTCCTACTAAGCAGAATTAAAGTTGACGGTGTTAATTTTTAAAGCTATGAATGGTTAGGAGCACATTTGCAGTTAGGAAGTGTCTGATTATTAAAAGACAGTACTCCCATCATCGCTAGAGGCCCATCATTTTGGCAAGCAGGAAATACAGTTGTCTTCTCTTGCATTTGCCCCCCAGATTATGACACACATTTCATGGAAGTTGCATTGGGTCTCCACTTTCCCAATTAAAAAAAAACAAAAACACCCTGCGAATTATTCATATTAATCTGTGTTTTTAAATTTTTAATATTCAATTTCATTTAACATTTTTTGTTAAGACACATTTGGTATTTGCCAGGATAGAAATGAGGAATATAAATCAGACAAGGCAAATTCAAGATCTTAACTGATATTCCTTAATTGAAAGCCAAAACACATAGTGTGGAATATAAATATATTCCCACTTGGCTACTTACATTATAGGATCCAGTGGTAATAGAAAGCATCGGTTTGATTAAATTAGCATTGCATTAAAGTTACATTGAATTAAGAAAATGCAAGTGAATACTATTCAGGGAAAAGAACATGCTTTTATTGATTCCAAGAGAACACAGAGATCATTATATGGATTTCAAAATGTACTTGCATCATGTACTGCTGTTACAACACTGGACATTTCACCATTCTGTCAGTTCCATCATACTCTTGTTGTAGGCTGGAAAGCTGCTGCACTACCATAATTTAAAATAGGTTGTGCTATTTCTTTTGGAAGGACAGAGACCTTCACATGGCAACGTTCATTCATTCATTTCATTCATTCATTTCATACATTTATTATTTGAACTGTGCCATATGCACTGAAATACTGTTATTAATTCCTTTTATTCCTTCCTTCCTTCTTACTCAAATCTGACCAGAATCAAATTCGGTGGAGGGTGATGAAGCACATTGACAGTGTCTTATTTTTTTTTCTTTTAACGACCCTTTAATCCAGTGTTTCTCAACCTTGGCAACTTGAAGATGAGTGGACTTCAACTCCCAGAATTCCCCAGCCAGCTATGCTATGCTATGCTGGCTGGGGAATTCTGGGAGTTGAAGTCCACTCATCTTCAAGTTGCCAAGGTTGAGAAACACTGCTTTAATCCCTTTGTGGATTAAAGGTGGAGTTGGGGCAACTGAATGGAGCTGAGAGTTTATTGGCCGAATGCTGTTCCTGACGTCTATGTAGAGTTCACAGCAGATATTTTTTCTTTGCGCCCTAATAGAGAAACATTCACCACTGCCTAGGATTGAACTCTGAACCTTCTGAGTGGGAGGCGAGGGTCTTCATCTCTAGGCCACCACGCTGCTCACACAAGCTGTGGCCAACTTGCCACGGGACAACTATGCATAGCCAACTCACCACAGTATAACTTGCTGCAAGAGAAGAGTTACACTAATATCAAAGAAATGGTGGGCTAGTATCATTAAAAGAAAGGATGCAAAAGGAGGCACAAAATGAAATGTGGATGACAAAAATTAAAATATTTTTATTTATTTATTTTAAATAATTAAATTGAATTGTTAAATTGTCCCACGGGAAGTCGTCTCACAACGAATTGGCCATGGTGAGTTATCCCTCAGCAAGTTGACAGTGCCGAGTTGGCTGCGGCAAGCTGGCTGTGGCAAGTTGGCTGTGGTGAGTTGGCTGTGGCGAGTTGGCCGCAATGAGTTGGCCTCAGCAAGTTGTCCCATTCTGCCCATAGAAACCTGGCAAGCAATAGAAGAAGGAATAGTAAATGTTCTAAAAAGCTATGCCAACAAATTTGGAAGATGACATATTGGCTAACAGATTGAAAGAGGTCAATCTACATTCCAATATCAAAAAAAGGGAGACTTAACAGGGTGTTAACAGTATTCTTAATTTCACATATTAGAAAATAATAGGATAATCCAAAACAGATTCAAGCCTTGCATGGAAAAAGAGATGACAGATGTTCAAAGTGGCTTTAGAAAAGACAGAATAATGTGGCATGTCATTTCTAATGCAACTGGATAAATGAGAAAGCCAAAGAATACGAAAAAAAAGTCATTATGTGCTTCATTGATTATAAAAAGGCAATTGATTGCATGGATCACATTCAGCTGTAGACTGTGCTTTTAAAAAAATCAGAACATCTCATTGTCCTCATGAGAAACCTATATAGCCTAAAATGCAAATGTCCTGCACCCACTGGTAATAAAAGTAAAGCAGCACAATGAAAAAAGGGACTAAAATTAAGCACACAAAGGAGACTAAACTATTGACAACAGATAGAATAACCAGCCTCAGAACTGACAATGAAGATATTAAAGTGGTGAATAATATCTGCCTTTTAGTATTAACCTGCTGAGGATGATGTGATAGTGCAAGTTAATTGAAGCCAAATCATACGCATTATGCATTCTTGCATGGTACGGGAGCAGCTCTGTAGCGGACAAAAAGGCTCTACAGAGAATCATTAAAACTGCCCAGAATATCATCGGGCTCCAGCTACCAGCCCTGGACGACATCTTCAAATCTCGCTGTTTGAGGAAGTTGCATAACATTCTCAGAGACTCTTCCCCATCCTGCTTACAATCTTTTTGGACTGTTGCCTTCTGGCAGAAGATACAGAACAATTAAAACTCAGACCACATGTTTTCTGAATAGTTTTTATCCCAGAGTTATAATTGCACTCAACAATGAACTAAAGGGCCACCATCAGTGAGCTGTTGGACAGTATTACTTGGTCTGTTGTGTGGATATTTGGGTGGTTTAGGGACAGGGAATTTGTGGAGGGTGGGGGTGTGTTTAGAGATTGTTATGTGTGTTGGACCTGGTCTTTGGGTGTTAAGTGAATTTTGTTGTATGGGTATACTGTGTATACACGTACAATGACAATAAAGTTATTATTATTATTATTACTTGGGGCTAGGATTTTTTTACCCATTTCAAGGGGAAAGAGTTTTCGTTTTTAATTGATGCTATGCGTATTTTAGGTTGTTCCCTACACATTTTTTGCATCCAACTGGCAAATGTGTGCATGATGGAGTGGTTGGTTGGGATTTTTTAAAGATTATTTTGATTTTTCTGAAGTTGTGGTCAAGACACTTGAATTGTAGCAATGGGTTGAAAGTTTTTGGGGCCAGAGGTTGTCTGCCCTGTTCTTCTTCTGGTGTCTGTTAATAGCTCTGAAGGCCAGGGGTTTTGGCTCAGTGGTGAAATCCATTTTTTTTTACTACTGGCAGGGGAAGGATACTACAAAATCTCCATTCCCACCCCACTCCAGGGGAAGGATACTGCAAAATCTCCATTCCGTCCCCACTCCTGGGGGAAGGATAATGCAAAATCTCTATTCCCACCCCACTCTGGGGCCAGCCAGAGGTGGTATTTGCCGGTTCTCTGAACTACTCAAAATTTCCACAACCGGTTCTCCAGAACCTGTCAGAACCTGCTGGATTTTACCCCTGTCATGGCTAGTTTTAATGATTTTTGTTTTATTCCCAGGTAGTCTACTTCACTGCCACTTTCCCTTACCTAATGTTGATCGTGCTGCTAATTCGAGGAGTCACTCTCCCTGGGGCTTTAGATGGAATTATATTCTACTTAAACCCAGACATTTCCAGATTGGCTGATCCTCAGGTGAGTTGTAACTTCTATTGCATTTCAATAGGCAGATCATACATGTTTCAAATGGATTTGGCAGATGTGCTTCTAGCTTTTCATGGACACAATACTCCTGCACAAACCTGAAAGAGTCATTGCAGCTTTACTAAAGCACAAGTCATTAAAGCTAAGTGACTTTTAAAGCAGAGGCAATTTTCAGGCTTGTACAACGACCAGGGAAAAAGATGTGGCTGCTTTAAAGAAATGACTAAATGGACGAAAGTGCTGTTAAGTGCTAGCACTTAGCTGCCAGCTGCCTGCAATTAGTGCAAGTTCGAATCTCACCAGGCTCAAGGTTGACTCAGCCTTTCATCCTTTCGAGGTAGGTAAATTGAGGACCCGGATTGTGGGGGCAGTAAGTCAACTTTGTATAGAACAACACCACTAATAAGCAGGTATATACAAAAAAGTATGCAGGCTATTGCTATAATGCATTGTAAGCCGCCCTGAGTCTACGGAGAAGGGCAGCATATAAATTGGACTAATAAATAAATGATGACCTATTGGCCAGGTCAAATTGATTTTTGATGTCCTTAGAGTTTTATAAAATAGGGGCAGCTGAATTTCATAAGATCAGAACTCCTTCCTAACTAATATAAGAAGCATAAACTAGTCTACATTAAGTTATTGTCATTTATTCAGTGTTACTCCTTTCTCTCAAAGTTTTGCATCATCTACAAATTTATGCAAACCTTCACATAGGATAATTTGTATTGATTTTTGCCTGCTATATGTGTATTTTGTGCCTATCCTATATAGATCTTTTCCTAAGATTTGCATACAATTTTTCCAAGTATTCACTTTTAAAAACCTATGTTTAAGCAGAAGAATCTTTCAAGAGAATTCTAGCAGACCCTGTGGATGATTGCATGCTCATTCCTGTTGCAACAAATTCCTTCCTGGATGATTGCACCATTTGCTTGAAAAGAACTCTTTGAAATATTTATCTGACATGCTTACTCTTAACTGCTTACCTGAGGGATTGTCAGTAATATAACATCTTAAGCGTGACCTAATAAATCCAGTCAAACAAAATGCACATGAAAGCATAAAATACCATCTATCACTTTCCCGTTTGGGTCCTCTCCAGGTGCATTGGCTTAAACACCTGTTGTCCCTAGCCACTGTTGTGCTGGTAGCTGGGGATGATGAGCGTTATGGTCTGATGCATCTGGAAATTGCTACGTTGGGGAAAATTGCAACACATACATTAAGAGCTCTCCCATGGTAGCACTCTGAATAACTTGGAAACATTCAACCTGGGCGCTAGCAATTCTTCAATATGTTTTGTAATCTTTGAAACCATCCAACAGTCACAGCATACCATGGAACTCTAATGAAAAAATCCAAACAAATAAATGAGGTTACTAGGCACCTCATCACAGAAAAGTTATTTCAAAGCCACCACCATATTTGCCCAACCTAACAGCCCATATAAAACAGAAGAGAGCTGGCCTGGAGAATCTTTCAGAGAGACTGTGCTATAATAAGGAGTGAGGGATGGAAGTAGGAATCTCTGAACAGGGCTTAATACTAGAGGCAGAAAACTTGCGGTCCTGGAGGTAGGGCTGAATTCGAATTTCTAGCAAACCCAGCTAGCGTGAACAGTGTTCCCAAGTGCTGTATTTTAGAGGACTTCTCCAACCTGGATGTACATATCATGTTGGACAACTGTGCTTGTCATTATTCATCTGTGCTGTGTGTTGCTAGATCCTAGACCAGTGATGGTGAACCTTTTAGGCACAGAGTGCCCAACCCGAAAGGCGCACGCATGCGCATGTATGCACCAAAGTGCCAGAAATCCGACAACCAGCTGGCTGGTGCACATCATACCTCAGAAACCTGACGACCGGCAGGCTGGCACATGCACACCTCAGAAATCTGATGACCACAGAGAGGGCTCTGTGTGCCACCTCTGGCATGTGTGCCATAGGTTCACCATCACGGCCCTAGACAAAGCTGTTTTAGTCACTTAGGGCAGGGATATCAACTGGGGATCTAGGACTTTTTGGTTTCTACCCTTGGCCGTGAATGGGTGGGGGTGTGGCTTCTACCCTTGGCGAATGGCTTCTATCCTTGGCAAATGGCTCCTATCCTTGGCAAATGGTGAGAGTGGGCCAGCTGAGGAGAAAAGCTAGAGGTTAATGAGTGGAGGTGGGACCTGGCGGAGAAGCAGGTGCGGCCAATGGTAGGAGCCGAAAAGTCCCATTCCATCAAACTGGCAGCCCATGGGCTGGATGCGTCATGCACAGACCACGCCCACCCCAGCTCCGTGAAGGGGAAAAACATTGCGAAACATCACACGACGGCAACGTGGTGTGGTGAGTTGGACACCCATGACTTAGCGAAAACCTAATCTTCGAAAGGCAGGTCCAAGCATGCCATTGTAAAGGCAAAGGACCTTTCCTAAAAAGCAGCTCCAGCTTCACTGAAGGATGCACACAGGTACGGATATACCTGGTCACTACCGGTTAAGGCACAGCACTGCCGTTTCTTCTATTAAATTTTCAACATCTGACAGATGGTTTCGCTATGTCCTAATTGAAAATGATTTGGCAAGAGAAAGATAATGTCTCTTCCAATTGACTGGGAACTGGTTCAAGTTTCTCATGTCTAATATCCAAAGTTCCCCCAAGGGACTGGTGTTCCTAGCAAGAGAAACCCAGCAAAAAGATTTCTTAGGGTGCAGACAGAATTCTGTGTCTTTAAATTTTCTTTACTACAATTTACTTTAAACTGGATGCAATTTGTGTTTCACTGCTCATTTTGAATTGAGGAAGGTTCAGCTGATCATGTTTTTAATCCCTTTGTCAGCGTCCCAGCACTGACATATATAAAGAGAGGAGAAGCTTGAACTTTTGCCTACTAAATCCCTTTGAAGGATTTGAAGAACGCTGACACCCCTATTATTGAGAAAATTTTTACTTTCTTTTTGAGTCAAATAATGAGTTTGACCCATGCCAAAAGATAATTCACCACAAGCAAAAGATACCTCCCATCCAGTGGTGGGATTCAGCTGGTTCGGGCCAGTTCAGGCAAACTGGTAGTTAAATTGCTGGCTGGCCCCGCCCCTTCCCACCCTGCCCTTTCCAGGAGTCCCCACATGCCCCATTTTGGCTCTCAGGTAAGTGCAGGGAGGTCTCCTGGGCCCAAAATGGGGCACAGGGTGTGGTGTGCCCCCCCCATGACCTGTTTTCGTCCCCAGGAGGCTTCAGGGTGGCCTACTATCCCCCAAATGGGGCACGGGGGTGGGTGAGTGACGCATTCCCCCATGGCCCATTTTTGCTCCCAGGGTGTGCACAAGGTCGAGTGCTGTCAGTCACACCCCCTGGCCACGCCCACCATGTCCATGCCCACCCAACTGGTCATTAGGGCAGAGAAGCGGTTGTTAAATTATTTGAATCCCACCACTGCTCCCATCTCCCTAGAGTTAACCTATTGGAGAAATGAGCAGCATATACATTTATTAAATGAATAAATATTAAAACAAATAAAATAACAATAAAATACTTATAAATCTAAATCAAGCTAAAATTAAAAAACAAAACAAAAACGAAACCAACCAGCCAAAAACCAGTACACACATTCAAATGAAGTAGTCCTCAAGTATATAAATGGTTGCTTGTTATTATTATATATACAACAGTGTGAAATCATTGCTGTCAGTTCTTTAGCTGGTATTGCCCTTCATATGTATTGAGTTCTTCCCTAGAATTTAGGATGTTGTGATGTATCGGTGTAGTATATGTGCGGATCCAAGCAATGTGTCTTTTTGCAATTGACAGATAGAAATTTTGTCAATGCTCAGATTTTCTAAGTGCCATCCAAGACTTTTTGGTATGGCATCAATCTGCCAAATATTATTATTACTTGTTAAATTTATATTTAATTCTTAGAGATATCACAAGGCAGTTTACAGAATCAATATTTCTAATATGAATACAAATTAATATTTGTAAATATTAAAACAATAACAAAAGTGCTATTTTTGCTGGTTTTATTTTTGTTATTGTTGGGTATTTTATCATCTCACACATTCTCTTGCTGGACTTCTGACCCTGGAATGACATAGCTAAACCTAGAAAATGTAATATTGATTGAGTATATAGGAAAGTTTACATTAGAGAGGCAGCCTTCTTGGCTAGTCTAGTTTCAGACTATTTAGAGGCTCTATCGGGTATTTCAAGTATGTGTGTGTTCATGAAAATACAATTGTTTATTTCTTCTGCAACTCAATATTTTCCACATGACATGTGTTGGACTTCAGCTCCCATATTTTCTGGACAATGTAGACAATGACTACTTCAATTATGGAAGTCCTGCAGCTTTTCAGCCCACCAGTTTGGAAAAGGTTGTTGCTTTTGTCTTGTCTCGTGCCCCATCTTTGGACTTTGTACTACTATAAGGAGTACAAAGGATAAAAACTATTTTATTAGACAAAAGGATCTGAGTGAGAGAAATTTATTCAGAATCATTTGTGGAGATTTGCAAAGTAAGTTATTTTTGTGGTGGCCCGCCGGTGGCCAGCAGAGCTGGTAGAAGAGTCTGGCAGTGAGGAGTTTGGGGAGGAACATGGGCCAGTCCTGGGGGCTGGGGAAAGCTCGGACGAGGGCTTTGCATCGGAGGCAACGAGGGAGCTAGACAGCAGTGAGGCAGAGGAACAGCTGGAGCCTGTTCCCAGTGTGCGCATGCGCAGAGCTGCCAAAAGACAAGAAGAACTAAGAAAGCAGGGTCGATTTAGGAGTAAAGCCACATCTTGGAGGTGATTGGCCCCTCCCATAGGAAACAAAAGAGGAGTGAATGGGGAGTGGGCTTTTGTAGGAAACAATTCGTTCGTTTGGTCGTTTCAAGAGTGGGAAGATCTGTCCCTGACTCCCAGAGACTGTGCCAAGTTTTGCCTTGCACTGCATTTGGAAACTAGTTATCTGGCAGCTTTCCAAGTGAGATAAGGTTTGTGTTGATAAATATTCTTCTGAAAAGATTGCCAGGCCTTGCTGACTGTGAATGAAAGGAATTCATAGTCGTGTATATAAAATGGGTTTTGCCAGGAGCAAGACTCTGCTTCCTGCTTTTTAAGGGAGCCTAGGTCAGAACAATTTTCACACTGATATAAAAGGTTTTAGATTTCAATTTATACATGTATCATTTGTGAATTTTTCAGTGATGCACCCTTTGATTTGATCACTTGTTCCATCACTTCCAACTCTTCATGGTCCAATGTAACTGCATCTTTGAGTTCTTGTAAGTTCCTGCTTGTATCATCAGTGATAGTAGCAGCCCCCTTTATCTTCTGTTGACTTCTTTTTCCATTGACTTCAATTTTTCTAAGCCTTGGGGATCTTCACTACAGTAGTTACTCTTGCCTTTGCATTGCGTATGCACAATTTTTAAGCTTTCGCTTCATTATTAATGCTTCTAGTGAGCAGTCTGGTTTTATTTCATCTAATATTGAATTATTTGTTCCTCTTCAAAGACAGTCCAAAGTATTCTCAACAGATTTTCCAGCACCAGGATTCAAAGGCATCCATTTTCCTTCATTAAGTCTTTCCTATGGTTCCACTTTCACAGCCATATGTTACTACTAGAAAAGCACATGAATTCCGCAATATGCATTTTTTTCAGTGTGATACACCTATACTTTAATATTTAAATAGATCTGCCCTGATCTTTTTCCTATGTAGGAAATTCCTCTCTATTTGGTGGATCCAGCTAACATATTTGTGAATTTTTCAACCAAGGACATCTGTTACCACTTCAACGTCTTCTCTTCTTTTTTCTAGGGATGGCATTTACCTGTTAACATGTTCTTCTTGATGATCTACTGTACCTCCTGACTGTAGAATTATTGTCCTTTTCTTGTTTCAGGTATGGATGGATGCAGGTACTCAGATCTTCTTTTCATATGCCATTTGCCAAGGATGCTTGACGGCTCTTGGCAGCTACAACAAATATAACAACAATTGTTACAGGTAGAAGTAAAAACACCAGTTTTAATTTCTGCAGACTTTTAGAGTTTTGTAGTATCAGTCATTGTGTATTGACCACCTGTGTTCATGATCCACTGGATTCTTTAATATATATTTCCCTGTAGTCTGACAACTCTTCTGGAACGCAGGATCTTTCACCATGGTTGAAATCATTGCAGTTTATCTTCTATCCTGCTGCCTGCTTCATATAACAACTATTTACTCATTTCTGTAAATATATAGATATAGACACACAAACATGTACACACACACAAAGAGAGAGATACTTCGATATTTATCTCTAGTCTATGTGTATAATATCCTTTAATATATTTTATATGTTCTGTGAAGACAACAAGACGTGATTTTATATTTGCGTTCTTTGCATGGATTTCTTCTACTTCAATGATCAAAATATCTAAGAAAATATACTTTAAGTACACATATGTATCTGTGTGTCTACGGACTTTCCCTGCCTCTCATATGCTTACATCAGTGGTGAAATCCAATTTTTTTTTACTACAGGTTCTGTGGGTGTGGCTTGGTGGGTGTGGCAGAGGAAGGATACTGCAAAATCTCCATTCCCACCCCACTCCTGGGGGAAGGATATCACAAAATCTCCATTCCCACCCCACTCTGGGGCCAGCCAGAGGTGGCATTTGCCGGTTCTCTGAACTACTCAAAATTTCCACTACCGGTTCTCCAGAACCTGTCAGAACCTGCTGGATTTCACCCCTGGGTTACATACAAACACACACTCACGAAACCTCCTTATATTGAATCATATTTTTTTCCCATTTGCGTAAAATATCTACTTTAATCTAATTGGAATCAGTTCCCCAGACTCAAGTTTTTTTTGTGGAGATACTGTGGGCTAAATTGGTGTCTTCATTGTTACAATACCTTACAGTGAAGGCCAGCAAGCTATTTGACATGTAGCCTTTTTTGTTCAAATAATGGCATAACAATTTACCCAGATAATACTTTCCAAAAACAATAGTTAAAGGGGAATAAAGCAAAAAAATTAACAATAATTAAGAGCGAACAAATAAACATGGAAATAGAAGTAAAACAACTGTCAGCGTTCCAGAAAAACCCCAACTCCAAGTAAAGACGTGGAAGCAAACATTTTTCCAAAGTTCTCTTTACTAGAATAGGCAAACTGGCACATCTGGGAAAACCCAAATCTGAAAAACCCGGGTTTTCCTTCAGTAAGTCAAAGCTCCCAAAACCATCCCTTTCCCCTCAGTCAATCACATGCTCCAATCAATGTCCATTCCATCTCGATCCATCTCCCTGACCACTCCTTCTCCAGATGCTGGATCGGCCTGACCTTGACCAACAGGAAGAATGCTATTATGTCTACTAACAACCCCTCTCCTTAATCCCCCCGCCTACTTTCCCACACATGAGAAGGTGGCAGCATTGAAGCTTCCGGCCTAATATGGCTTCCAAAGCTGACAACAACGGTGACAAAAGAAAGCAAAGGTAGTACCAAAAGTCCTAAAGTGCCTTGGGAATAATCCCAAAACAACTGGAGCACCACTTGAACACCATTGGCATTGACAACATCACCATCAGTCAATTGCGAAAGGCAGCTTTACTTGGAACAGCTTGCATACTCTGACAATATCTTTAACACCATCCAATGACAACAATCTCTCTCTCTCTCTTTCTGGAATTTTCCACAGAGATTCCTTCATGCTCTGTTTCCTGAACAGTGCCACAAGCTTTGCGGCAGGCTTTGCCATCTTCTCTGTCTTGGGCTTCATGGCGCAGGAACAAGGTGTCCCCATTTCAAAAGTAGCTGAATCAGGTAAGGAGCTGATGGCTGCAGAAGGAGATAGCTAAATATAAATTATGGTCTATATCAGTGATGGCTAACCTTTTTGCCATTGCGTGCCAGGAGAGGGGGGGCGGGGGAGGTTCACATGCGTGCGTGCCCACATACATAATTCTATGTGCCCTGCCCTGCATGTGCAACCCCCCTCCCCCCCACTCCTGGCATGTGATGGCACAGTAGGCCCATTTTTCTTTCTTACCTGGCTCCAGATCCTCTCTATGCATCTGGGAAGGGCAAAAACAGCCTTTCCCACTCCTTCGGAGACCCTCCTGAGGTCTGAAAGGGCCCATTTCCCAACTTCCGGTGAGACAGGAAGTGACATTTTTTGCTGTCCCCAGCCTTCAGAGCCTCTCTAGGAGTCTCTGGAGTCTGGGGACAGCAAAAAACGTCACTTCCTGTCCCACCGGAAGTTGGGGAATGGGCCCTTTCAGGCCTCCGGAGGGCCTCCAAGGGAGTGAGAAAGGCTGTTTTCACCCTCGGTAGATACACAGAGAGGATCTGGAACCAGGTAAGAAAGAAAAATGGGCCTTCCCCCCTCCACCCAGGCCCTCTGGAGGCAGGAAACAGCCTGTTTCCCTACTTCTGGTGGGCCCAGAAGGCCCGAAAATCAGCTGTCTGGCATGCACATGCGCGCCAGAGCTAAGCTGGCGTGCCCACTGGGTCTATATTTTAGGAATAGGAGCCATAACATAAACATAGGACTCTCTTTCCCAATCTGGTTTTCTGTTTGGGCCATGCTGGTTTGAATTCTGTGAGTTGTAACCTGTGCTAAATTGGGGGAGTCCTTCCTTAAAGAATATCCATACAAGTTGTCAGGGTCTCCAACCTTGGCAACTTTAAGGCTGGAGGACTTCAACTCCCAGAATTCCCCAGCCAGCTGGCTAGGGGAATGCAAAGGTAGTACCAATAGTTCTAGATGCCTTGGAAGTAATCCCAAAGCAACTGGAGCACCACTTGAACACCATTGGCATTGACAACATCACCATCAGTCAATTGTGAAAGGCAGCTTTACTTGGAACAGCTGACTAGGGAATTCTGGGAGTTGAAATCCTCCAGCCTTAAAGTTGCCAAGGTTGGAGATCCCTGCTCTACAAGATGGATAGAGAAACTCACATATGTCTGATTTTGTTGATGTTCTCCATGCTTATCTGGTTTTGTCTCCCACACCCAGAAGGCACTAGATTGGAAAACATAGGTAGTCTCTGATAACTGTGTATTTGTCTATCTTAATCCAGTAAGCAAGTTTGATAAAGCAGAAGCTGAAAACCGGTATTCTCTGCATGAATTCCCATTCAACTCCAATCATCATATCCAGTGGGATAAAGTTTTAACAGGAAGGGTGATCTGATAACTGTTGAAAGGATGCCGGTGCCTCACCTTAAGCTAATAGAACATTGCTTTGCTTCTTTTTGTTTGATTGACAGGTCCTGGCCTAGCATTTATTGCTTACCCCAAAGCAGTAACCATGATGCCTATATCTCAGCTGTGGGCCTGTTTGTTCTTCCTTATGTTGATCTTCTTGGGGCTGGACAGTCAAGTATGATGATTTTTTTTTTTAAAAAAACAACTAGACCCTCTAATGCAAACATCAATTTCATTGAGGGCTGCATCAGGGTTGTGTTTGAACTCGGGGGGGGGGCGGTGTGTGTGTGTGTGTGTGTGTGTGTGTGTGTGTGCGCGCGTGTGTGGCTGGACGTGTGGTCAGGGTGGGCGAGGCCAGCTTCATGTCACTCATCAAGGATCCATTTTTGGCCGTGACAGCCTCTTACAGCCCTTTGCCAGCAAAAATGGAGCTCAGGGAGGCCATGCATGGCCCGCCTGGGCTCCATTTTCACTGGCAGAGGGCTGCAGGAGGCCTTCGCCGCTGAAAATGGAGCCCGGCTGGCTCGATGTGCGGCCTCCCTGAACTCTATTTTCGCTGGCAGAGGCACCGCAGGCCAGTCCTTTGCTGTTTCCAGGGCAGATCCGTGGGCCATGTCTAAGCAACTCATGGGCCGGATCCAGGCCTTGGGCCTTGAGTTTGACACCCCTGCTCTAATGTATTCTTAACTCCATTAATTTGAAGAATATAGAATATTTTTATATCTTTGTATGTAATACATCTTGCAGAAGAAACACAGTTTTGTTTTTGTTTTTTTGCAAAGAAAGGAGCCCCATGAATAAGTGATGCTCAGCATTAATTGCTTATATAAATTGGGAGAGCAGAATTTTGATCTGATGCAGCTAAAATGCAGATTGTTTGCAATACAAATGCAGATGTAAAGTCTCTTGTGATGGATTCTTTCGCCTTTTCTTCTTTGAAATGAGCTGGGTTTTTTTTTCCTCAAGTAGCTCTTAAGAAAGAAGTAAGAAGTTGGCAAAGGATTTACTCATATATTCACATATGATGCACATGGCCACCAGTTGCTTAATGCCAGTGGATGGTTTCTTTTGCAGACCATTGATCCTTTTAGCTAAATGTTGTTCTTGCAGCTCTTGGATTGTCCAGCAGAGTTCTTTATTCAGACTCTGGATTTGAATAGATTTTTACAGAAAAATCCTAAGAATTAGAAGCCCTCCATAGGCAAAACTTATGGTTTCTTCTACCATAGAGTTCATACAAACCATTCAGGACTCATCTGCATGTAGGAAGAATTCTTAAAACTCATCTGGGTGTGTGTGTTGTGAACGATGGGAAAATCTCTTGACATGTAGCAATATATCACAAGCCTAATGCAGGATGTGTTGAGAAATGCACATGTGCTAAAATTGCTACAGGAAGCTGATAGCTAGCAAAGAAAGGAAAGGAACGAGAGGGAGAAAGCTAAACAGATTGAGAGCTAGCAACTTTGGAATTTGTCTTCTGACATACTTTCTTCCCTAGTTTGTCTGTGTCGAGAGCTTAGTGACTGCCATCGTTGACTTGTTCCCGGAAGTCTTCCGTAAGAAAGGACGTAGGGAGCTGCTGATCCTGGGCATTGCTGTGATCTGCTATCTCATTGGCTTGCTGCTGGTCACGGAGGTGAGAAGTGGAGGTCAGTGGGGAGGAAAAAAGACAACTGCAAACGACATGCTACTACTGTGAAATTAGCAACTATTCTCCAACACTTCAGCCCCTATGATTAAGTTACCCAAATCATCAAGAGGTCACAAAATGCATTCTATTTACATATGTTCTCTTCTCTTTCCTTCCCCCAGCATTCTTCCCTATTTTCAGGCAGCTATTCCAAGAAATCACTATCCCATGTTGTGCTTTCTTTTAAAAGTGGTGCTGCTTCAGATGTTCTTGGGTTGTAATTGTCATCAGCCCAATGCAACATAGTTAGTATTTAGAAATACTGATTCTTGTAGTCCAACGTCTAGAATGTCACACATAATGTACCATCTTTCTTTTGTCACCTTTCCTCCAAGTTCTAAAAATGAAATTTCTGAAAATAGATTGAGTCCATTCTGTCCCTCTCTGAAGGAGATGAACTGTTTCAAAATTTGATTGAGAAAGAAAGAAAGAAAGAAAGAAAGAAAGAAAGAAAGAAAGAAAGAAAGAAAGAAAGAAAGAAAAAGAAAGAGGAAGGAAGGAAGGAAGGAAGGAAGGAAGGAAGGAAGGAAGGAAGGATATACTCTTGCTAATGATATGCATACAGTGTATGGAAGCATCACATGTGCACAGTGACAATTTGAACTTATTCAACACATGAACAGGATTTTTTAAAAAAATTATGGCATTCTTGTCTCCCCAGTTAATTCCCTCAATTAACCAGACTGAATGGTTAATTCCTTTCTGATTGCTACTCAAGTAACAAGTGTGCTACTTTGCTTCCTTCAAAGGTACTTACTGAAGATGGCATAGTGGGTTTAAGGTGCAGAATGTCTATAATCAGTATAGTCATTGTGGTATTATTTTTTTAATTGAAACTTGAAAATGGAACTTTAATGATCAATTGGTCATAACCAAATAGAGAAAAGCCTAGTGCAGGTAATGAGATTCATTATCCTGGACATGAAGAAATGTTTTAATGAAGGAGTAATAGTGGATATGGAGACAACTACAAAGATATAAGATCTATTATCCTTATTTCTTACTCTTATTCTGGATTATATAGGAGAAAGAGCTAAAGGGGATGGCATAAAGCCATGATAACAGGAGAAGATGTCAAAAGGGAGAGGAGAGGAGAGGAGAGGAGAGGAGAGGGGAGGGGAGGGGAGGGGAGGGGAGGGGAGAGGAGAGGAGAGGAGAGGAGAGCTGCCACATAAGTTTTAAGTGTATAAATGGATGCAGATAGAATATGTTAAAGAATCAACAGAAACCTAACATTAGTCCTAAGGAAGCAATCAGTAATATTTCAATAAGCTAAATAATTACCTTCAGCTTTCTATCACACAACTGCACCAACCAATTAAGCTTCAAAAATACCAAGAATGCTTACTGAATTTGTGAGAGAGCAAGGAAGGGGCACCACTTATCCACAGGAGAAAGCAAAGTTGCATGGAGAAGAAGGCAAGAAGATTGAGAGAGCTTTTGAACCTTGGACAGCTCCAAAAGGCCTTTGACTGCTTGCTGCCACTGGTTACAACTCAACCTCTGACCTGAGAGTAGGACCTGAAGATTCCCTCAGAATCTTGAAAGGGGTGGGAATGACAGGTTTTCAAAGACTGCATTTGAAAAATAATCTTGAACCAGTACAGCTTTCTCCTGGGATTTGGTCACCTTAAATCAAAAGTTACGACACCCAGTTTTTTTTTCCTGGACAGCTAATTCGTAGTTTCCTCCGAAATATTTGCTCAGCCATCAGCATCTGTGGAAGGGTTTTTTGGCAGCTGGTTTTCTTCAGTATGCCGTTCAACTCCCAGAATTCCTGAGACAGCCAAGCTGTCTCAGGAATTCTGGGAGTTGAAGTCCACAGGTTGTAAAAGGGCCACAGTTGCCCACCCCTGGCATATGCCAATTGCACTTCTACCCAGAATGCTTTGTTTTCTTGTTGCTGGTCTCTCAGCTCAAATTCCAACTCAGGACTATAGAAATGGAGACAATCAGAATGGTAACCACGAAGCTTTGCCATTTGTGTCCTCCAAATCTGGCTACAGTTTCCTAAATGTTAATTTGGGCGGGGGAAGGCAGGAATTTGAATCTTGTTCATCCATAACATTAATATATTGGTCATAGTGAAACAATATTTCCCAGGACAGCGCACTACAGTATGTTCAGGGCCTCTGAATGGATAGCGTACGGCAGCTATAATATCCACCTGTGATTTTTGGAAATCAAGACTGGATGTAGGATAAAAAGCCATTTATAAAATGCTTGAAGTTTATTACTGATTGGGAGAAGAGGAGTAGATGTCAGACAAGTGACAAGACTGCAAATTTATGAAAACATTCCTGGGGCAGTAGGATTCCCCCCCACCCAAGGTTGATAAGTTCAGATTTTGGCATTAGCCTTTTGTTTTAAAGCTAAAGGAAGAGATTTTTTTTTTTTGCTCATGCTTTGATTTCTATAGCACAGCATGAGAAACAATATGTACAGGTAGTCCTCAATGTACAACCATAATTGAGGCCAAAATTTCCATTGTTAAACAAGACAGCTAAGTGTTAAGTGAATTTTGCCCCATTTTACAACTTTTCTTACCACAGCTGTTAAGTGAATCACTGCAGTTGTTAAGCTAGTAACACAGTTGTTAAGTGAATCTGGCTTCCCACTTGATTTTGCTTGTCAGAGAGTCGCAAAAGAGGATCACATGACCCCTGAAACACTGCGACTTCATTGCTAAGTGTCCGGATTTTGATCATTGTTAAGGATATTATTGAGTTACACCCAAAGTTGTGGCTTATAAAGCAGAGTACATTTGGAATTTTACGCACAGAAACAGTTTGAGAGTAATTGTGAATAACATACAGACAAACTGGGCTTGATAGTATTTTACTTTTAGGGAAAAGCAAAATCATAGTCCTTTAACAATCCAAGTCTTAGCCATATAAAGTGCAATATAAGATCAATCCAGGGATATAAAATCTTCTTACCAGTTTGTAGAAAAATACAAGGAACAATCAGGAACAATATAAAAACAGTTCAATAAATATCAGAAAGCAGTAATCATGATCAAACAGTTGACCATAGAGAGATCAAAAAGAGTTACAGCGTAGCAGCAGATAAAAATGGTGTAGTGTTCTGGCTAACCATAATTTAGCTCTCCTTAAATACATTGGCTACAGAGCTCAGCCAATCAGGATGCAGAATGACTCAGCACAATTCTTAAAGCTACATAATACATTCACATAATACAAACATACAATGTTGGCTTATATATTTCCTGGCCAACCAATTAGGCAATACCCATTTCCTAACAATCATGTTGACCACGGAGATACTGCAACGGTTCTAAGTGTGAAAAATGTTTTTTTTCCCCAGTGCTGCCATAACTTAAAGTGGTCGTCATTAAATTAAATGGTTTTAATGTTTGTTGCTTTGGGTTCTGACCCTTTTGCTTTGTGGTTCTTGCAGGGTGGGATGTACATCTTCCAGCTGTTTGATTATTATGCAGCCAGCGGCACGTGCCTTCTCTTTCTTGCCATCTTTGAAGTCATCTGCATTGCGTGGGTTTACGGTACGTAAGGCCTCCAATTACATGCAGGCAACGTTTGATGCACAGGGCTCCCTTTAAGAATGAAGACGTGTTCGACACAATAGAACAGCTCTCTAGATATGTCAAGGCTGCATTGCTCAATTGCATGCCTGGGGGATTCTGAGAATCGTAATCCAACATACCTGCAAGGCAGCAGGTCCAAGCAGATGCTATTTCTTTCTCTTTTGGTCAGCCTTTTTGCATCTCACCTTTTATCTCTCATTTAGCTATGCCTATTCCAATTCTTTTAACTGGATGAACCTGCTGGTGCACTCATTTTTCAATTCATACATTAGGCCAGGGGTGTCAAACTCAAGGCCCTCAGGGCGGATCTGGCCTACGGGGTGCTTAGATCTGGCCCTCAGGGCTGTCTTGGAAACAGTGAAGGACCGGCCCACAGTGCCTCTGCTAGCAAAAACAGAGCTCAGGAGGGCCACATGGGTTGCAGCCGAAAACGGAGTTCACGACAGCCGCATGCAGCCCTCCCGAGCTCCTTTTTCACTGGCAGAGGGTTGCAGGAGGCCATCGCAGCCGGAAATGGAGCTCCGGAGCCTGTTTTTGCTGGCAGAGCATTCGGGCCACCACAGGTGCCCCCGACACAAATGACGTTGAGCTGGCCATGCCCAGCCTGGCCCCCCAAGATCAAACACAACCCTGATGCAGCCCTCAATGAAATCGAGTTTGGCACCTCTGCATTAGACAAACACAACTCCTGTCTGCTTCTGCATAGTTTTTCATCACGCTTTAAACAATGGCAAGGGTTAAGGCAGACATTTGGACAAAACTGTTCCAAACCCTAAACTACTCACTCTCCCTTCCCCAAAAAAGAAAAGAAAAGAAAAAAATAAAATAAAAAAGAGGGGGGAGTCAGATTTTTGACTCCGTCTACTCAAGAGTCGCAGCATGGAGTCTGATGGGCTACATATTGTTGTTGTTGTTGTTGTTGTTGTTGTTACTATTACTGTTACTGTTACTGTTACTGTTACTGTTATTGTTATTATTTTATTTATTTATATCCCACCACCTCTATTGTTTTTACAAATAGCTCAAGGTGAACATACATACTACCCCTTCCTTCTCCTTTTTTTCCAAAGAAACAACTTGCGAGCTAGATTGGGCTGAGAGAGAGTGACTGGCCCAAAAATTACCCAGCCAGCTTTCATGCTTAAGGTGGTACTAGAATTCACAGTCTCCCAGTTTCTAACTTGGTGTCTTAACCACTAGATTAAACTGGGTATATATGCAGTTCAAGGGTTCATATTTTGATCTGAATTGAATACTGCAGGTTTTCCCCCCCCTTTTAAATACAGCCACCACAACCTGACTTATCATATAATTACATAATACCAAGGAAAACAATGCAAAAAATGAATATTGAAAGTATTGAGCCTTAGAAATATCTCCTTTTACAGCAGGAAACACAAAAGACAAGTAGCACACACGTTTTCCCCACTTATTGCTGGCTCAAGCTGCCAAGATTTCTGGTCCTGATGATTCTGCATTTCTAAAGCATTAGAGGGAACTGATGTTGAATCTCAGTTGCTAAGGAAGAAAGCAAGAGGAATTACTGAATCCAGCTGAGGGTTTCCCTTTAGCATCTGGTAGCTATTGTGGGAATCAAATGCTGAACCTGACAGGGCTTTGATTTGATCCAGCGCACTTCTTATGTAACATTTTTAAGCATCTTAAATAGATGCTATCTGCAGGCTCTTAAATGCTTCATAATACTTAGAACTAGGATGAAAACCTCATTTCCTATTTTTATTTATTTTTTTCTAGCTGAATAGGCTGCACTTATTTTGTTGTGATGCTAGATTTGAATTTGAAGGGTTTCTTTTTCCACTAGCGAGATGATGACAATATTATTCAAGGTCAGGACAGGTTCATTATTTAGTTACTTTATGTAGGACATTTTTGCAATTGGGCTAAAACGTCCCTCCGCTATAACCTAATTTTAAAGGATCCGAATAATCCACTCCCTACACCCTGTTCAGACCAGTTAGCCACTAATACAATCCATTTTTACCTGTGTCTCTGGTAACGTAAAATCATGCTACCCATTCTCATTTCTGGAAAGTACCTCAGGAGACTATTTTTCATTGCATCACTAGTCCCTTTGGTCTAGTGGTTAAGGCACCAGGCAAGCAATCAAGAAATCCTAAATTCAAACCCCACCTTAGCCATGAAATCCAGCTGGATGACCTTGGGCCAGTTACTTTCTCTCAGCCCAACCTACCTCACAGGGTTGTTGTTTTGGGGAAAATAGAAGGAAAAAAGTGTGTTGGATATGTCTCCCTACTATTTGTAAAGTCATTGTAAAAATTTGTAAAAATAATAAAAGCAGGATACCAATAATCAAATGAAAAAAAAAATCTTTCCCATTAGCAAAGGGACTGGCCTGTCTTAGTCAATCATTGTTTGAGAGTTGTGTTCTGGGTTGTTAAATTAGTTTTGTAACTGAGGAAATTTTTTCAGCTTTTCTCACTCCTTCTTTTACTTAGAGGAAGAGGAGGAGGGGGCCAGAGACATGGGTCAATTGATTGGGTTTAGATTTTCCTACAACATAACCGAAGGGGAAGATCTAGTTCAACCCTATGCATAACTGGGTAAAAGAACATTCTCCTCATTTACCCAGAATAACTGTTGCTGTTTTAGATTATTGCAAGGCAAAACATTCATCCCTATTTTCGTATCAAAATAGTGCATCTGGAAATGATCAAGAATTCCCTGATTTCTTTATCTTTCACTCCTTCTCCCTCATCCTCCCCCAGTTTTGGTATGAAAAACCCATGGCCAGGGTGTCTGATTTGGCAGGCTGGATCCTCTTTGTTTACACCACGAAGCGTAATAGCAAATGTTGCGAATAAAGACACATGTTTCTAGGCTTGTCTGTTGTCAGCCTCGGAAATACCGCCCACAGCTTGGCAGGATTCCCCCCCATCCCCGCCTGTCAAGCAGATGGTTGTTGCTAAAAAGTGAGGATTTACTACATTCTGATTTATTCCTTTGAAAGAACTTCTAGTTTCCAGCCAGCTTATTGTTGTTGCTGTTGTTGCAACTGCCAAAGGGGACAGCCTGCGAGGACTGCAAAAAAGTGGAAGGAATCCTGCTTTTTACAAAACCTAATACATTTTTGGGAATTGTCATAAATTAGAAGCCAGGATCTAAAACCGCATCTCTTTGCTATCGCTTATTATTGGGAAAGGAAATTAAAGAAGGAAACCAGTAGTAGGGATGTCGGTATAGTTTAGACTGTGGCTACCTCCAGTTTTGCACATTCATTTTACTGTTAGCGCAGGGACGATTGTATAACTTCCAGGATGGTCCTACAGCCTTGGAACTCAGTTGCTTAGCAACCAGGGAATATTCATTCTCAACGGTAGCATTGTTTTGGAAGCTAAGCAAGCGTCCTCATGTTGCCTTAACAACTGGGCACAACTCATTCCCTTCTGGCACTTACCAGCGATGTGAAGGCTCATGCTATCTTCTTTTGCTGATTAGGTTACAGAAGAGCAAAAGAACAGATCTCTCTTTCTCTCTCTCTCCCTCCCTCCCTCCCTCCCTCTCTCTCTCTCTCTCTCTCTCTCTTTATGCTGCCAAGATCAGGGGTAGATCAGATCCATTGAGATTATTGTAGAAGACTTAGAGAGCACAGGCGATAGTGATGGATGTGGGAAGCTGCAGTGCAGGAGCCTCTGGAGTAGTGTTTTTCAACCTTAGCAACTTTATGATGCCTGGACTTCAATTCCCAGAATTCCCCAGCCAGCTGGCTGGGGAATTCTGGGAGTTGAAGTCCACACATCTTAAAAGTTATTAAAAATTGAGACACACAGTTCTGGAGAGTCACAAGTATCAAATCTCAACGAAGTGAACTTCTTTGCAGAATGGTGGGAAGAGAGCGCTGCCTTTGTGTCATATAAAGAAACGTCAAAGGCTGCTCTGACATGGCCAGAAATAATTCAGAACCGAAAGGCAAATCAGATAGCATGATGAATAAGCAGGAGAGGAATTGGTTCCCAAAAAAACAATTAAGATTATAGTAATACGTCAGAGGTTTTTAATACATCGTCTGTCAAGTACCAGGGAAATTAGGAGAGCCAGGCAATTTGAATGGGTAGATAGATTTATTGTAAGCTTAAGCTGTCTACATGAATCTGGAACTACTAGTGGTCAAAGCAGTTTGGAAGTAAATAAGGAATTCATGGAGGGCTGGACTAAGATCTCTTGTGGACACAAAGGAACTCATGATTGATGACATGTTTGACCCCTCCCTCGGGCTCAGCCTCCCTCAGCCTCATCTCCTACATCACCATTGTTAATTGATAAGGTGCTTGGAATTTGCCTCACATGTAACCTGGTTCTGTGTAACTGATCTATCTTTCCAGTCGCTCTTCCCACTTCAGTTTCAATCCTACATCACTTTAGCTACTGTAGCAGTGGTGGGTTGCTACCGGTTTGCCCCAGATTGGGCGAAGCGGTAGCAGCGGCGGCAGGAGGCTCCGCCCACCCACCCGGATGCTTCTGGGCATGCGCAGAAGCATAGCGCATGCACAAGTGCGCATGCACCTACGAGCAAACTGGTAGCGACGGGATTTGCAACCCACTACTGTACTGTAGGCATCTCGTGAGCTTCAGTTTATGACAATTTATTGCCTTTTAATACAATACAACTCAGAGAAGATCCTACCAGATTCTTTGAGGGTTTTTTGCCATCGTAAACTACACGACTGTCCTCCTATGGTATGTTGTTTAGAAAGGCTCAGATGGAACAAGAAGACCTCTTAAGCTCTTTTCTTCCCTGAATTATGCAATTGCCTCCATTGGTAGCATTTGTCAGAGGATGCAGTGGCCACCATTTTGTTGCTAAATCAGGCTCTTCCATATATACCTCTTGACAAATACAAATTAGAAATGTCCACTAGTGCAATGGGATTGCCTGCCTTTATGCTAAAGGATTATAAGAGTTAAAGTCCAATTTATCTGGGACTCAGTAATAAAGGCTTTTTATGGCCATATGTCTCCTTGAATTTAGTAGGCATTTACTACTAAGTTGATTCCATTGTTATTAGTCTAATGTTTCAATAAAAACTGTAATGTTCACCTTTCATTTCAGTTTTATAAATATGCATTTTAGTATGTCTGTCATCTTGAAAGGATTAGTTCTAGAAGTCTTCATACAGATGTTGAGGTAAATAAATATGAAAGGTTTCTACAAATTTGCTATAAATTCATCAGTACTGACTTTTTTCTGTTATCATTTGACTATATCTAACAATTTGGATAAAATCCCTTTTATTTGCTTCTTCATACATGATCAATATTAATAATGATAGCATATTGTACAGAGGTCTGAGAAGCCTGGTTTAAAACTCTAATCACTCATGAAGGTGACAAAATTGCCTCTTTATCCCTTGGACCAGCCTTTCTCAGCCTGCTAATATGTTAGACTACAGTTCCCATCATTCAGACGACCTCACATTTGCCTAATGTCTAATAATACAAGTGTCTCTTCTATTGCCCATGATGGCTAGAGATTAGAGCAGCCATAATCCAATTTACCACGAAGATAACACTTTCTAAAAGAATGGTAAGAATTCTAATCCAGAATCGTGAGAAATATTGAACGATTGGAGGGTTAGAGAAAATTGGTTTAAGCTAGCAGATTCCTATGGAGAGTTTTAGATGGCTTTGATCTCCTAGGGAAGATATACAATTGAATTCCAGGCCAGAGGGTTGGCTTTTTTCTTTATCTGACTGGTTTTTGACAGCATGAGGTTTATATAAAGTTCTCTTTTTGTAATGGTCAAGGAGCTGATCGTTTTTATGACAATATCGAAGATATGATTGGCCGCAAACCCTGGCCCCTGATTAAATACTGCTGGCTCTACCTCACACCTGGTCTTTGTCTGGTAAGTACATTGACTGTGTCTTTTACACATATATGGCAAGGGTGGTGATGGTGTAGGGAAAAAAATCCTTCTTTAATGTCCCTTGCCTGACAATACAGAAATGTTACTATTAATTGTTGTATAATTCTTTCTATTAGCATTGTTTGCCGTAGTAGTCCTTGTTAGCTATTTTTAATTTAGTTTAAATACTTTTACACGTCATGAGCTACTCAAGTGGCTTACAATGAGATGCCAAAGGTAGGAATCTACAGAAAGAGAGAGATAGAGATCCAGCTATACCTTGCAAATACATCAAAGGGGTCCTTGGTGCTCTCTGAATTTAGTGGTTTTCTTGCAGGCATTTCATTACCAAACTAGGTAACATCATCAGTTTGGTAATGAAATACCTGCAAGAAAATCACCAAGCTCAGACAGCACCAAGGAGCCCACAGTTAAACCTGAGCTACAGTTATACTCTTCTATTGGTACTTACATCAATAGATGGCATAACACAAAATGAAAGTGATTTACAGGTAGATAAAATGTCATCAAGACATGGTCCTATTAAATAAGAAGACTGTAGTTAGGGAGTTCCAGAAAACATGAAGTGCACACAGTGTGTGTGTGTGTGTGTGTGTGTGTGTGTGTGTAGGTCTTTGGTTATTCGGGTCTTCTCCCACGTAAAATTGGAAGTGTCTTGGCGACGTTTCACACCCCCACTAGCAGTTAAAAGGAAGAGAAAGCTGCGATCTCACATTGCTCCTGGAAGCACGAAGCCGAGAACACCAGCCTGGAACACCAGCCTGAAGATGACAAATGAGACTTCGTCGAAACGTCGCCAAAACACTTCCAATTTTACGTGGAATAACCAAAGACCTACATACAAACACCCGCGAAAACCTGAGAAAACATATATTTGTTGTAGAATATATATTCTACAACATCATGACCTGGGAACCATTAATAATGACAGGGTGTTTAGAATGCTCTCTTTTTGATTATCTGAATGAATTACAGGTTCAACTTTGAGGAAATGACCCTTCAAGCTTCCAGGAAGTAAGTCACGTAGGAGAAGCAAGGGTACATAGATGGACCCAAGATCAGGTTCTGTATGTCTCCAAAGAAAGAACAAACAGAAAAGTGGAGAAAATTCTTACAGGCAATTAAAAACTGCCTTCTGACTGTTGATTGCCAGTTCAACACCCTAAACCAGGGGTCTCCAACTTTGGCAACTTGAAGACTTGTGGACTTCAACTCCCAGAATTCCTCAGCCAGCTTTGCTTTGCTGGCTGAGGAATTCTGGGAGCTGAAGCCCACAAGTCTTCAAGTTGCCAAGGTTGGAGACCCCTGACCTAAACCATTGCCCAGGCATAAACCCAATATCTCTGTTAAACTGTTGTTATTAAATAGGTTGAATATTTTAGCAGTCTTTTTTAGTGCATAAAGTCCCTTCTTGGCAGGCCTCCAGTTTCAACACTGGAAACTTATAACCTCATATCCCATCTAAAAAAATGGAAAAGCAGTTGAGGAGATCTGATTCTTGCAGAACTTAGAAAAGCTAATGCAGAATGGCAGTCCTCTGTGTCGGCTTCCCTCTTCACACATATTGAGTGCTGTTTCCAGATGCCTAAACATCGGTATTATTGCCGATAATACCGATTATGCCGATAATTATTGCCGATAATACCGATTATGCTGATAATGATTGTTACAATCATTAAGAAAGGCAATAAATCTAATCCTGCTAAGTTCCATCTGATCAACCTCTGAAATGTTTTAATAAACCAGGTGCCAAATGTCCATGTGAGAAACTCAGTGATTGTTTAGAAAAAGAGCAAGTTTCGACTGACTAAGAAATACGTTTCAAGAGAGAACAAGCAACTATTGAATACTTATTTTTGTAAACCATCCAACAGAAAAATATTACTCTTCATCTTGAGGCTTCCTTGTTGCTGCCTTTATAGATTTGAAAGTTTGATCTCTAGGGGAGGATTGTGGTAGAAATTATTAAAGACATCTATGGATTTCTGTCTTACTAGATTAATTATGATGCGCTACAAGATATTTATAGGTCGATTGTACAGTAAGCGGAGTTGTTTCAGTCCCAATTCTCATTATAAGAGGAAGAGCCGTGATGGCGCAGAGGTTAGAGTGCAGTACTGCAGGCTATTTCTGCTGACTGCCAGCTGCCTGCAATTTGGCAGTTCAAATCTCACCATTGACTCAGGCATTGACTCAGCCTTCCAGCCTTCCGAGGTCAGTAAAATGAGGACCCAGGTTGTTGGGGGCAATATCGGTGGTGGGATCCTACCGGTTTAACAACTGGTTTGCTGAGTGCGCGTGTCAGACGCGCGCTGTGCGCACGTGCCCAGTTTGCTGAAAACTGAACTTCCGCGTTGCTGAGAGCAAGGAAAACAGCTCAGAAGCGGCAATCCACTCTGCTTCCCCGATCAGCTGGGCTTCAGAAGCAGAAATAAAGGTGAGTATAACGCAGGTGCGGGCAGGTGAGCCCATTTCAAAGAAAGAGAGAACCGTTTCGCTCACGGCTGAAAGTCTGAGCTAACGGTTCGCCCGAACCGGTCCAAACCGGTAGAATCCCACCACTAGGCAATATGCTGACTTGTAAACCGCTTAGAGAGTGCTGGAAAGCACTGTAAAGTGGTATATAAGTCTAAGTGCTATTACTAATTAAACAAGGTTGTATTCTGGTCCGCTTTTTAGTTAATCTTTATTTAATCCACTCCTTAACTCAGATCCTAAACAAAACTGAATTTCACCCGTTAGTGCAGGGCTGTCAAACTCCTGGCCCATGGGCTGGATGCATCACGTGCCAGCCATACCCATGCCCAGTTTAGCAAAAGGGGGGAAAAGTCCTAATATGTCACGTGATGCTGCCGTGACGACGTGAGTTTGACACGCCTGCCTTAGCGCTAGCAAAAGTGTTTTCATATACACAGATGATGTGATCAACTTCTTGAAGACCTTGAAGTTGATATTCATCAGAGTTTACAAGCTTCAGATGCTTATTGTGGGGAACCAAAAATTAGGAATTAATTGTAGTAAATTAAAAATGATTGTATCCACGAAGCAATGAATTAAGGTCATCCATGAATGGAAAGCTACTGGCAATTTGATTGAGGAAATTAAGATCTTTAAACATCATAACATGTAATGGCTCAGGAATTGTGTTTCAATCTTCTAATACCTGGAGAAAAGGTATGAAAAAATATATTTCATCTCATGCAGAAAAAAAAAATTCTGATGTAATAATTAAATTTGCCAGCCACCAGGGAAATAATTATGTTTCCACTGCAATCTCACTTTATACTGTAGAGCAGAAATGCTGAGCTAATACTTGATGGCATGGAAATTATGCCTATAAAGATATCAAAAAATTGGAGGTAATTCAATCCAGGTGCTTAAGAGCGGTGCGCCATGTCCCTCACTGCATTTCAAAACACCAGCTTGAAGCTGGACCAAGGTTGTGTATCAAAATAGCCCTGCACCAGGATTTTCCAGTTGATATATTTTCTAAAATTAATTTGGGGGAAAAAAGCTGCCTATTGCATGGAGTTATTCCTTGTCAACAAGTATGATTCCTCACGGACATATACCATCGCTTCAAACTTGACCTCTTGTGGATTCTTAGGTCAGTCTGAGAGAGCCTTACAAGTGATCTAGATTTACAGAAGGAACACAGGAGCAGAATTTTTTACTACTTCAACACTGACCTTTGTAACCTTTATCTGTTCTTAAGTATTTATACAAAATTCTCCCTCTCCTTCACAATACAGCCTTCATTCTTGCCCGGTTTAATGTCAGGCCATCAGGGGTTTTGAAGGGAAAATACAGCAACTTTCCCTTTCTCAATCAAACCCATCCCTGTATCAGTAGTGGGTTTCACTTACCTTCGCTACTGGTTTGGAACTGGGAGCGCTTGCGTGCGGCATTTCTGTGCATACACAGAACCTTCTGCGCATGTGCAGAGCATCCATGATGACGTCCGGGCAGGTGGGCGGAGCCTCCCGCCACTGCCACTATAGGTTCACCCGAACCAGGGTGAACCGGTACAAACCCACCACTGCCCTGTATGGAAAGTGTTGTGGAGTCTAAATAAATATGTTCTGATAAAAGAGCCTTGGTAGTACAGTGGTCTAAAGCACCCTGTTATTAAGACCAGCTGCCTGCAGTTACTGCAGGTTCGAATCTTGTCAGGCTCAAGGTTGACTCAGCCTTCCATCCTTTCTAAGGTGGGTAAATTGAGGACCCAGTTTGTGGGGGCAATAAGCTGACTTTGTATAAATATACAAAAGGATGAAGGCTATTGCTTAGCACATTGTAAGCCACCCTGAGTCTCTGGAGAAGGGCGGCATATAAATCAAATAATAAAAAAAAATGTTCTGCTGAGCTGCCCAAGAAATCATACATGGCACTCTGGATTAATATAACCATTCCAGTTGTAAAGACTCCTTGATTTACAGCCATTCATTTAGTGACCATTTACAACAGCACTGAAAAAAGTTATGTATGGCCATCTTTCACTCTTACGACCATTGTAGCATCCCCATGGTCATGTAATCAAAATTCAGATGCTTGGCAACTGACTCATGACTGTAACTGTGTCCCAAGGTCATGTGATCATATTTTGCAACCATCTGACAGGCAAAGTCAATGAAGTGGGGGAGAGGGTCTTGGTGCTCTCCCAGCTTGCTTATTTTCTTACAGATGTTTCATTACCCAAACCACGTAACATCATCCATGCTAGTCAATGAGGAAGCCAGATTCACTTAATTTATCAACTATGGTGATTCACTTAATCACTGGCAAGAAAGGTTGTAAAAGGAGGCAAAACTCGCTTAGCAAATGTCTCACTTAACAACAGAAATGTTGGGCTCAATTGTGGTCATAAATCAAGGACTTCTTATACTCGGGGACGAAAAGCAAAAATAAAAATAAAAATGGAAAGCTAAAGCCCAAGTCTGAGCTGAAGCCAGCAGTCAGTTAGTAGATCCTAATAAACATCTCAATTTTTGCCGATGTGATCGGAGTTCACTATAGGCTCTGTTTGCTCACGGCTGAAAAAGGTCACCTTGATTAAATGCACTTTTTCTTCTCCTTAATTATCTCTTACAGATGCTTCTAATTTACTACTGCATAGCTGTCATGCTGTCTGTTCTTGTCATCCTCAGGCCACCTTCCTGTTTTCACTCATTAGATACCAACCCCTCAAATACAACAATGTTTATGAGTATCCTCCATGGGGGATTGCAGTGGGTTGGGTGTTGGCCTTATCCTCTATGATCTGCATACCGTCCTACATTATATTCAGCTTCCTGAAAACCAAAGGATCTGTCAAAGAGGTAATAAGAACAGAACTTCTCTGAAGTCTTCGTTTTGTTATTTTACATGATCATTCATAAGAGATAGAACTGACAGGTTTTTCCAATGTGTATTACCGAAAAAAATATATTCTGTATCCTAGGATAATTGTTTTTCCATGATAACATAAGCCCTAAAGTCAGTGATGGGTTTCAACATTTTTTACTACCGGTTCTGTGGGTGTGGCTTGGTGGGCGTGGCTTGGTGGGTGTGGCAGAGGAAGGATACTGTAAAATCTCCATTCCCTCCCCAATCCACGGGAAGGTTACTGCAAAATCCCCATTTCCTCCCAATCAGCTGGGACTTGGGAGGCAAAGAATAGATGGGGGTGGGGCCAGTCAGAATTTTTACTACCAGGTCTCTGAATGACTCAACATTTCCGCTACTGGTTCTCCAGAACTGGTCAGAACCTGCTGAAATCCACCTCTGCCTAAAATAAATCCACACCATGGAAGCTGGGTTGGTGGCTCTTTATAATGGAAGAAAGCCTTCTGATACATGAAACAACTAACTAACAAAAGCAAATTTGGTTACTGGTAATTGTAGAAGACTAAACCCTTAGTGCAGGTGTGTCAAACTCGTGGCCCGCGGCCCGGATGCATCATGCACTGGCCACGCCCACGCCCAGTTTAGCAAAGAGGAAAAAAGTTTGCGATACGTCATGTGACACCGCCGTGACGATGCAAGTTTGATACCCCTGCCTAAGTGCTTCGAAGTCTTCTTCAGAAAGGCTGTTTGTGTATTTTAAACATATCTAGTTTGTCTGCCTCTTGTTCTGAATTCTTACTGCTATTATACTGATCAAATCAAGTGGAAAATATGTGCAAATAATGAAAGACAGAATGGAGAAATAATCCCCAAACCCTTAACAAATGTTTCACACCCCAATCCTTGTTCAAACTGACAAATGCAATTTTTATTTCTTCTAGCTATGCGTTTTTTGTCTTCTAACTTTGAAACTTAACACTGTGCAAATGTTAACAAATCAGAATCAGTCACTGCCAATCATAGATTGTTATGCTGTCTAATTGACACTCATAGTTATAATTGTTGCTCTACCTCAGAAAATTGAGGCACTGAGCAAATGGGATCCAAACTAAGAAGTGCCTATAAAATTCAAAACTTGCTTCGGGTTATAATTATGGTTAAAATAGTATGTTGCAATAACTATCAGGTTATCGCAACATACCTGTAATAATTACAGGTAATCATTGGTTGAATTCACAAATCACACTGATCCATAATGTGAATTGCTTGATTTTAGCATTATAAATAATGCGTTCGTGACAGTTTAATTTTACATGTTCAACTACTATGATTTATCTAACCATTGAAAAAGTCCTAGATTTGTGTTTCCACAAACCATGATTAAAATAAGCCACGGCAGAAGCCAATGTGTAAACCCAGCCATTTCTTCTCATTGATAGATGATTCTTCACTGATGCATGTAGATTATGGAATGACAATAGAGGAGAACAATAGAACTCAATACTTTCATGGACATGAACATTTATCTTAGTGGAATAATTTGAATTGTAATCCAGTTCAAAAGGCTGGGAAATCCCACGCAAGTCCTAAAATAAACTTTGCAGCAATGCCATCCCCAAGAGTTTAGAAAGATGATGCCATGTCCCCAGAAGACCTTATTTACTGATTAACGATATTGATGTAATAACAAATGACATTATAAGTCAGCCCTGATTTAATAGCCACCTCAGGTGGATAACATGAGACAAAGACCCAGAGAGCAAGAGAAACAAAATATGGTAAGATCAAAAGCAGCCAAGACTAACAATTGCTGAAGAGGATGGAATTTGCAGAGGTGGCTAAATTGACTTCCTTGGTTAGAGAAAAGACAGTATCTACATATACTGCTGACTGGAAACCTCTTACAGGATTTCCTCTTATAGTATAGACTTTTTGCAAGAAACAGAAACAGTTGATCTTATGATTTGTGGTTTTGAGGAAAAACCATAGATACTGTAGATTACAGAGTGTATGGAAAAGAATAGGTTTTTTTGTAAGCATAAAGTAAGAGGTAATTTTGTATTTGTAGTTATAACTACTGCAAAGGAAATCAGAAATAATCTTTTTCTATTTTCATTCTTTTTTTTAATATACTTTTGGCTTCTTTCCTAATTTTTTTCTTTTTTTTCTTACTTTGTATTAGTTCTTGCTAGTTTTTTAATCTTTTTATGTTTTTAATTAAAATATTAAAAAGGCAATAATGATAAGCAGACAGCAAATGCCATCTTCGCAAAGAAGCTGAAGAAATAGTGGAACACCTAGTTAGCTGCTGCAAGAAGATTGCACAAACTGAAATCCCATGAAATTGAGTGGGATTTATGCTGAATATGTGTATGAGTCCATCTTAAACCAAGAATTAATTTCTTTGAGTTTGAAAGTTCTACCTGACATTTTTTGTCAGAAACTGAAGGTCAACCAGAATATATAATTCATGTGTTTGTAGATTAGAAATTTGTTCTGAAGTGACAGCTCACATATCACTTATGGATATTTAAAATAATCTTCTTTTCAGCAGTTTGATTTATACAAGGCTACCTGGGTTGTTGCTTTTATTGTTAAATAATTGGAAAACCAGCTCTTGCCAATTTAACTCAAATCTTTCCCTCCAAGTGTTCCAGCCTTGACAGCTTTAAGATATGTGGACTTCAACCCCCAGAATTCTGCAGCCAGTCTTGCTGGCTGGGGGAATTCTGGGACTTAAAGTCTACAAGTCTTAAAGTTGCTAAGGTTGGACACCCTGCTCTAAGGTCCATTAGTTCTCACTTCTGTCCACTCATTTGACACAAATAATTTGTGTGCATGTGTGTGTATTCCAGAGTTACTCCTGTTGTAGTTCCTACATTATGAACCTTTGTACACTTCCATCATTTGGAATGTAAGCTTGAAAGAAATACTAGAGTTACCAGGATGTAATTACTAGCCATTTCCTCTGAAATCACCTTCATTTGTTTGTTTACATGTTACATAGATTGCAGATATTCCTAGGAGTGGTGCAGTGGCCTAGAGGTGGAACTCTTGCCTCACAATCAGGAGGCAGTGAGTTCGATCCTAGGTAGAGGCTGATATTTCTCTCTCTATGAACAATGATAATATATCTGCTAAACAAAACTCCGCATTGGTGACAGGAAGGGCATCTGGCCATTAAACACTCTGCTAGCTCCAATCAGTTGTCCAGACTCCACCCTGCAAGGGATTATGGGGTCATTAAAAGATGATGATAGATTGCAGATATTCCTCTGAGGTAGCACCTTAGTATTGGGAGTCATTTTTAAGTTACTTTTTAACTGCCAACCTGGGCAATCCTTCCGCCATGTGGACTTCATCTCTCAAAATCTCAGCAACTGTTACATCAGGTCATGAATTTTGAGTATTTCAAATTCTTCATCGACAATATTCCAATTGAGGAAGTGTAATCTAGAAAAAAATTGTGCTCTTCTTTAAAAAAAAAATAGGATCAATCCAGCATGTGGAGTTTACCTTAGGTTGTCTGTCAGAGAGAGCCTCGGTGGCGCAGTGGTTAGAGTGCAGTACTGCAGGCTACTTCTGCTGACTGCTGGCTGCCTGCAATTTGGCAGTTCAAATCCCACCAGGCTCAAGGTTGACTCAGCCTTCTATCCTTCCAAGGTGGGTAAAATGAGGACACAATTTTTGGGGGGAAATATGCTGATCGCTTAGAGAGGCCTGTAAAGCACTGTAAAGCGGTATATAAATCTAAGTGCTAGGGAGAGGCATTCTCCATCCCATTTTGCTCTGCAAATGTATATTATGGATTGGAATGGGGGAAACCACATTGCATTAAATCTAGGGTAGAATCCTTTCAATCTGAATGTGGAACAGTATGGCTTTAGTCTGAATTTTGCTTGATGAAATAGACTGTAACAAGACTTAAATGAAGAAGGTGAGGGCAAAACATAATTTACATTGGGGTTGCTTTTTGCAATTCAGCTTATTGTTATTGCCAAAGGCCAAAACAAACAACACAGAATATAATTAACACAAACAGCTGGAGCAAATGTTAAAAACATCAGTTATTACATAATAATTAGAACAAAACAAAAAAAAAACCATTTGACCTAGAGTAAATTTTGCACATCATTTAATAGAAAAGTAGAGATGCGGAACAATATAGTGAGAAAATCTGTTAATTAATAGTACCAGAAGTAGAAACTTTTAAAATTAGTTCCACAGAGAAAAGCACAGTCAGCTCCAGTTTTGCTCTTCAAACTAACATTTGGTTTATGAGCGTTGTACTATCCAAGTACCTTAAAAAACATACTAGTCACCCCGCCAATGGATTTGATTATAGGGCTCCTGTTGGGTGCTATAAACAAATAATATAAGTACTATAACTACTAATATTTCCATTTGCGCAACCATTCAAGAGAACATAATCATTTTACAAAAATGATATTGAAACACTCTAGAGAGCAGCCATACTGTTCAGTACATACAACTCCTGGAGTACAGCAATTTGCGTCGGAGGTGGCCTAATCACATCCATTTGGCAACTTCTCACATGATAAAACCTCCATCTGAATGTAAGGAGAATATCTTAGAAAACATCAGGAGTTGTGAAAACTAAGAGCTCTTACATTAACCTTAGTAAGGAGGGGACAATATTTTGTTCTTCTACGTAGAGAAAACTGGATGGGTAGCAATCTAAATGAGCAAGCCAGAGTTGCACAAGGACCTCTTAAATTGAGTGGAGGTGTCTTGATAGTTGAGCAACTCATTGAAAAAAAACGGTTTCATTAATTTTATTTACTATTTATACCAGTTTCCATGATAGAAACAGTGTCACCCCTTCCATCTTCATGATGAACCTTCTGAGGAGATTCTATTCTTGTAGTACCACAGTTGTATTAGAGCCTTAAGAACAGATGGTTCTCAGGAAAAAACTGAGAATCAACACTGTATGAGAATCTTCATACACTCATTTCTCAAATGACTAGCGTTGGGTGAACTAGAGAAACAGATAGTGGAAGTTCTGAAAGAGTGAGGCCAGCAGGGGATAAATCTACAGCATTTTTCAGGCGTCTTAGCTCATTTTTTGCAGAGGGCTTTCAAAGTGAAGTTGAAGGCCATTGAAGTCCTATCTATGGCCTGTGTGGGTCTCCAGGTTGTGAAACTATGTTTAGTTTATTCATGAGACCATTACGAAAGAAAAGCTGAAGTTGTTGAGTGTTACAAAGCTATTAGAGACAGAACTATTCACATAGGAGTCTGACTTATGAAACCTTTCCCCTCATGGGTATGAAAGAATAGCTAGTTTGCTGTGCATTTAAATGCACGTTTATCTAATTTACACATCTCAAATCAATATATGAACCAAAAACAACGATATTGCAAGCTTTATAATGTATTTTTCTGATTAAAAATTGAATATAAAGCTATCTAGTTAGCCATAATTGCATGAACGTGCATATAGTGGAGAAATGACAGTGACAATGTACATATTCTCATGAGAAGTAAAAACAAAGAAGCAAATTCTTATAGGAATAGGACAAAACAAATTTAAGATTGGAAAATAAAAACCCGAACGCCTTAATGGAAGCAAAATTCTCATCTCTAATTGCCACAACAAATGAGTGTTTTTTTCTTCCTAATCTCATGCTTTTGTAAGTATGCAATCTATTAAAAACATCCCTACTGTAAGCATTGTTGGGATTTTTATTGTGTGCTATCATACGTCAACAAGCAGTGAACCTAAAAGCGAAATAACACAAAGTATTAAACCATTTCCCATCTGCTCTTTTAAATGTATGTGCCAATAAACTTGCCTTATGAAAATTTCGTGGATGGGTTTTTGGACTGCCTTTGTCCACCCCAACTGAGGCAGGTTAATTTGGATGTCGATTTGCTTGATCGTTTAATTAACAGAGATACTGCCTGTCATTTTCCTTGTCTTTCCACAGCGCTTACGCCAGCTCACTGCTCCAGCAGAAGACTTGCCCCAGCCAAAAAAGCATCTGATGGGCACTTCTGGAAGGGAATGTTCTGAAGTGGGATCCCAGCATCCAGTCAAGGAAGTGCTTGGCAAGACGGGGAAGGAAACCAACTTCTAGAGCTTTCTGACATTCTGGAAGAGTCTCTTCATATTTCTGAAGACTTCTGCTTATATCCAGGTTGAGTTTCCTCTGAGATCTTCCTTATTCTCTTAAGATGTCAGCAATTTCTAAGAACGGACCACTGGATGGAAAAGAACCAACCCTTGTTTTTCCATCTGCACAAGAAGAGCTGTAAAACCATCATGGTGAGGATCACGGCTCAAGATCTCCATGAAACCCTTCTCCTTGACATTGTTGGAGAAGGAGCTATCACTTTGTGAATGCTGCATATGCACTCTCTATCCTTGAATGGTGTTGTGTTCTGTTTGCAAGAATTAAGTACGCAGCATGATCAGGTTACCTGAAAATTATCTGTTGAAGCTGGTCAACCTGACTCATCGTTTCTTTAATCATTCTTCCACTGCTACCTCCACTCTTTGATACAAATGGTTAACAATTCTGTGAAAAAAACCCTAATCCAGGAACCTCTGAGATTAGCCAAATGTGTACTCTGTGACAGCAGGATGAATGCGTCTTGGACAAGTTTGATGGATTACTTTTTTTTCTCTATTGTTCTCAATGGTTTACATAAATCTGCTACAGGTGAGGGTTTCTTTCAACAAACATCATACCCATCTATTTGGACTTTCTAAATTAAAGTTGATTGAACAGTCTCTCCCACTGGTGACAGCCCAGGGGAGAGAAAAGTGGCAAATTGGAAGCAAAATAATTTTGTGAGATACTGCCTTCACATTCTCTCCTTCATCTTTTGGAGAAAAGATTGGCACTGAAAGGCTGACAGTCTTTCAGTTTGAATATACCTCATCTGACACTGCTCCATGTGGCATCCTTGAGTTGTTGGAAAACTAGAACAAAAAAATGGAAATGCCAAAATTGCCTTAGTGTGTGTGGGAAACACATAAGAAATAATCAACTTGAGAATGACCCACTCCTGGACACGTACCTTGGCACAGCGATGCAAAAACTTGCATATGATTTATAACGCAAAAGTAAAAAATAAGAAATGCAACTTACAATCAGCCAGAAGAACGAGAGTTGTGCAGAGCGAGCTGGTTTGCCTGCCTTTATTTCTTATGTAACTGCTCTATTTTATTTTTTTTTAAAAAGGACAATTTAATATGCTCTTATGCAGCATGAATGTACTCAGAATTTCTCCCATGGCATTTAGTACTCCTACAAATTGACAGAATTCTTTGTTTCTTTGCATCTGTTTTCAGAAATGCCCTCTGTCCCAAGCAAGGCAGCTTCCAAGGAACTGTATATACAATTGAAGTCATTGTCCCTTGCTGTAATAGTGCTGGTGAATTTGACTTTTCAGCAGAGGTATAAAAAAGTCAAAACGATGACCATAATTGTAAAATTAAAGCCTTGCCCCCCATTTTACATGTGTTGCACAAGTGATGCGTGCAAAAAAGGGGTGGGGCTTCATTAGTGTGCTTGTAGTCCCCATTTGGATTGCCACTGACAGTCCTGCTTCCAGCCTACCTTTAAATAATATAGTCCAAAGCAGGAAATTTTCTATTGTTACCAGGTTGCACGATGCTATTTCAGACTGTAGGAGAAAAATGGAACTAAGATTTCCCTTTAAGGTTTATTTGACATGAAAGTAAATATTATATTCATTATCTGAGTGTAAGTACATAGTACCGGTCAGGGGTGTCAAACTGGCAGCCCGTGGGCTGGATGCATCCTGCACAGACCATGCCCACCACAGCTCCGCGAAGGGGGAAAACGTCACGAAATGTCACATGGTGGCAATGTGACGTGGAGAGTTTGACACCCGTGGTAAAGGTAGTCCTTGACTTACAACCACCATTGAGCGCAAAGTTTCTGTTGCTAAGTGAAACATTTGTTAAGTAAGTTTTGCCCCATTTTACATCTTTTCTTGCCCCAGTTGATAAGTGAATCACTTATCAGTGAGAGAGAGAGTCTCCTGCTTGAGCAGGTGATTGAACTAGAAGACCTGCAGAATAACTTGGGTATTCTGTATTCTGTATCAATCTCCATTATCTATAATCCTTGATCAAAGTGCTTTGTAAACTACATGTTTAGTTTACTTGGAAGGAGGAAAGGGATTTTAATGAGTATAGGTGCATGGTGACTTTATGACTGTCATTCATTGATTCAATCATTTATTCATACATTCATTCAATAGAAATTTTATGATTGGGATGGGAACTCTTTCCCATCAACATTCCCTTCGCAGACATTTTTCATGTAGAGGGTTCCTCCTGTCAGACCAAATTAATACATTTTGGTTTCTTCCAATTTTTAATTTTTCTGATGTAATGCTATATTGTGTTTCTGATCCTTTGATTTTTTTTAAAAAAAAATCCATGAAAATGATACATCTTTTGTATTCTAATGTAATGCATTTTACAAATTTTGTCTAATAAGCACATATTTTATTTCTAAAAAAAATCTTTATATTTGCCATGCACTTTCACCAAGATAAGCATTTTTGTAGGCACTGTATCATGCTATGTGCATTTTCTATGCCTTTTTTTTTAAAAAAAAGAATTGCATTGTTGAATATAAAAAACTGTAAATGCCAAAGGGTAGCAGTTTCATTCGGCATATTGACTGGAAAGAAAAAACAGATTTGTCTGTATGAAAATATGAACTAAGAACATATCACATATGTACTATATGTCTAACTTATACATTCCTAATTGTCCACTATGAAGCAAAAGCATAAGAAACATTCTTGTCTTCATCATCTTCATGCAAATAAGATGATCCATGTAAAGTTGCCAATTTACTAATTTGTTTTTTTATTATCCCTACTTCTGGCCTGCCACAATATTCTGACTTGCAGATATTTAGCATGTGAATGGCTTCTATTCCAGTTTGGTCCAGGTCTGGAAGTCAACCAACCTTCCATCTGTAATTATTTTCCAATCCATTCCAATTGGTCAATTCACTGCATCCAAAGAGAACCTCTGTATAATTTATGATGCTCACCTCAATGTGAATGCCTCTCTTCTATTAATATTGCCTCTGTATTTAAATGGGAGATGATAACGATTGAGAAATTTCTCCAAGGTACCCTACATGGAAACAATGTTAGTTTCCTCCCTTCTAAGTATCTTGAGCTATATTTCATGAGTGCACATCTATGTATACGTGATAATTCTTTGTACATAAGATACAGTCCCATTTCCTTACTTTATGAAGACAATGGTTGAAATTTCTTTTAGTTTAGGTTCTTCTGGAAGTCAGAAACTGTGATCTGTGGCTAAGAAAGAAATGCAGTAAATGTGGTAATTAATTAGTAGCTGATGGCACAGAAGCTTTTGAGCCATAAACTTGCATATTGAATGTGTCTCATTTTTACAACTTGAGAACCTTTTGGCTCATACATCAATTACAGAAGGTTAGGTGAAATCCGCAGCTGATTTGTTGCCTCATCAAAATTGGTCACTTTGCTATGATTTGTTGGGGGCAGCTAAAATTATTGATAGAGCAGATCTATAATTGGCCTTCAACCTCTGCACAGATGCTGGTAGAGCCGGAAATGGGCTAATAAATTTTAAAGTGAGGGCATTCTGCTTACACTAGAAATAAACTAGAGATACATGCTCCTTGGCCATTATTATGTGCTACAGCTTAGATAAATAACACTGTGTCAACAAGATAACCACACTGATACGAAAGACATAAATGAAAGTTATAAGAAATATTTTAGTGCCTATGATCTGTTTAAAATCTGTTATGAAAGTCATGCTAATCATAAAAATCTGAAACTTCATGTAACAAATATGGGCCAAAATCTGTATGTATTAAAATTCACACAACATGTATTTTTGTGGAAGGGATGGGGGGAAACTGATGAAAATGCTTTTCACTGTCCAGCCTTGTTCCAAACAGAAAGCTAGGCTGTATCTCTCAATCGTGTTTATTTTCAAAGAATGCTGATGCGGAGACCAGAAGCAATTGTGAAAATAAAGATAATTCATAGAAAACTGTTTCGTCATGTTCCAGATTCCCATATATATATATATTTTTAATGTTAGCATCATCTTTATAAAAACATTCAGAAAGGTGAGGCAGGGAAAGCATGGTGGGCACCAAAGGAGCCCCTGAAAATTCCTAGTTTCTATCCCAGAAGCCCAGCATTGCAAAATGGGAGAATTTTGCTAGCCAATTCTGAGGTAAATTAGAATTCACATTCTCCTTTCTGGGTGGTAAAGTATTGGATCAGAATGCAGATCACATTGCATTTTGTCCAGAATCCATCAAATTATGATGACCCACAGAAAGGGCTCTTCTTCTTTTTCTTTTCTTTTTCTTTTCTTTTTCTTTTTTTTGTGTGTGTGTGTGTGTGTTATTGCTTTTCCCCATCTGCAGTGAATGTTTATCTTGCTTTATGCTTCATTGCTCACCACAGCAATTATCAAAGAAGCAGGGACTCAGCCTGGGGAACCAGGGCACAACACAACTGAATCTTAAAAGCACTTTAAAGGAAAATAGCATCAACTCCTCCTTACTGGGTTGGGGAACATAGGCATTGATCGGTGTCTCCTATTGTCAATCTCGGTCTTCATAAAGGAGAGAGGGTTTATTTTTATACTTGTAGAGGCTTTTTTCTAGCTCATCACATGTGGAAAGCCACATAAAGTAGTGTGTCAGGAATCCACGAAACTTGGGATTCTTAGGAACTCAGAATTCACTCCATTGGTGAAGTGAAAGGCTACCTTTTACTAAGTTCAAGCAGTTACAGCGTAAGCAAAGCTGGATCAGAATATTCCCACAAAACCTGCATTTTCCCCATCTCCCTGGCCCTTCCCCCTTGACCAGCCCATTGGTGTCCAATAGCATTTGTTTTTGATGTTTTGGGAATGGCTTTGAGGTTTAGTGCCTCTTTGGTGGAGTTTTGCATTCCGTTCTCACACTCCATCCCCACCCTATTGGCCTTCCGAAAAGCGGTGAAGACCTGGCTTTTCTGGCAGGCCTGGGGCCGTTGGTCTCGTTGTTGCGATCTGGCGAGATCCGGCCATGAATGGTGTGAATGGGTTTTAATTGTTTTTAATGTTTTTATATATGGTTTTTAAATGCATTGTAAGCCGCCTTGAGTCTTCGGAGAAAGGCGGCATACAAGTTGAACAAATAAATAAATAATAAAATAAAATCCATCCTTGATAGACCAGTTCATTTTGGATTGACACCTCTGGTTCCTGTCAATCTGTCATTGTTGTTCTCCTATTTGTTAGCTGAAGAGTAATACCTGAGTAGTGTTTTTTTCTCTACTTTTGAGTCAATTTTTGACTCCTGATGACTGTCTAGACAAGTCATCAGTATCCTTACCAAAATTTTTGGAAGTGGTTGCCATTATCGGCTTTCTAAGTCTGGGAGACCAAATGGCCTAAGGTGTTTAGTCACCTAGACTTTCATGCCTAAAGTGTGACTAAAATTCACACGGGTCTTCTGGTTTCTAGTTGATGCCTTAACCACTGCTCCAAACTAGCTCTTAGGAACCACTAAATTAAGTATGGCACAGTGTCAAAGGCTTACGGAAGTCTGCTGGCTTGTAAAAGTTCATCATGAAATGTTCCAGGGCTATCTAGGGATGTTAATCTAGAGTCAAGAAGAAATAGCCTGACTAGGTGGCTCAAGTGGCTAAGACACTGAGCTTGTAGATCAGAAAGGTTGGCAGTTCAGCTGTTCAAATCCCTAGTATGGGTTTCCTGCGTGAGCAGGGGGTTGGACTAGATGACCTCCAAGGTACCTTCCAACACTGTTACTGTTACAGATTTTCCAGAAAGCATATCAGTCTAGAGCAAGGGTGTCAAACTCAAGGCCCATGGGCTGGATCTGGCCCACGGGGTGCTTCGATCTGGCCTGTGTGGCTGCCCTGGAAACATTGAAGAACTGGCCCACAGTGCCTCTGCCAGCGAAAATGGAGCTCGGGACGGCCACGTGCAGACCTCCCGAGCTCTGTTTTCACTGGCAGAAGGTTGCAGGAGTTGGTCACAGCCAGAAACAGAGCTCTGGAGCCCATTTTCACTGGCAGAGTGCTTGGACCACCACAGGCGCCCCTGACACAAGTGATGTCGAGATGGCCACACCCACCCCAGCCCCTCAAGGTCAAACACAACCCTAATGCGGCCCTCAATGAAATTGAGTTTGACACCCTGATCTAGAGAAACAACTATTGGATGGGACCTCACGGGCTACCTGCTTAAAAAAAATACCACATACCCATCTAACCATCTGCAGTGGAGATGAAAGAAACTTTTCTGTAGCTCAGCAAAGAAGAAGCTGGTTAGGTTAGTTCTGAGAAACACTTATAATGGGATAGAGAATTACGCATCTTGCCAAGTTTTGAGATCTTTTCAGGTGAACTCTTTTTTTTTCATCCCATGGAGATATAAATGAGAGTCCACTCGACTAAAATGAAGATGTAGAATTAATAAAATGACTAGCAATTCATTACTTGGCCAGTTAAACAAATATTCTCCTGACTGCATGGATATAAGCCAGTCATTCTAGCCAGCTAGCACTCACCTAAATAATGAATCTAGTGTTGAGTCCTTTGGAGCAGGGGTCTCCAACCTTGGCAACTTTAAGACTTGTGGACTTCCTCTGGCTGAGGAATTCTAGGAGTTGAAGTCCACAAGTCTTACATTTGCCAAGGTTGGAGATCCCTGCTTTAGAGCAGCAGGAGGTTAGCAATATCTCACTTTAAAGTTACTTACAACTGTTCCTTGGACTACAGCTTTGGCTTTAGGGGAGAAAATATGAATCTAGACTTAGCAGACATTGGGCTTTGCTCATATGCAATCTAGGAGGATGCACTGTCTCGGGAGAACTAAACCACATATTTTTGCCCTTGCTAAAAATCAACTGTAGCAAGCTTCAGTCCTACCACTACTAAGTGCTATGCCATGTTCTCTTCCTATCTACAGAATCCAAAAAAGGGAGGCCGGGAAAAGTACTTACAAAAGGTGGCCTCATTTTTGCTGAAATTAATCTTTTATGCCTATCTTTTTTTATCAACACTTTGACTTCATTCAAAATATCCTCATCACAACAAAGTCTCTAGAGGTAAATTGAAGAAGAAAGAAGAAGGTGACTCAGGTTTTTTTTTTTTTTTAATGAAGAATGGGAAATCATAGTCCCATGGGCCTATGGGCCAATTTACAAGATTGGACCATCCAACAATGTTCTCACTAGCAAAATCTATATTTTTAAGAAGCGCTGATAATTTTCTTTAACAAGAAAAGAGCCATAGTTGCTTTGTTGCCTAAGATCTATAGATGGATGATAGACGATAGACGATAGACGATAGACGATAGACGATAGACGATAGATGATGATAGATGATAGATGATAGATGATAGATGGATGGATGGATGGATGGATGGATGGATGGATGGATAGATAGATAGATAGATAGATAGATAGATAGATAGATAGATAGATAGATGATAGATATATCTATCTCTATCATCTCTCTCTCTCTTTGTCTCTGTCTGTCTGACTCTCTCTCTCTCTCTCTCTCTCTCTCTCTCTCTCTCTCTCTCTCTCTCTCTCTAACTCTGTGTCTCTGTCTTTATTTCTGTCTCTATCTCTATCTCTCTATCTCTCATCTCTCTATCTAACAGATGTGGGTCACACATTAGAATCTTGTATTCTTTGGGTTGGAGAAGGGAGCAGTATACAATTTAAGGTATGGCATTATCTTCCAAGTCCAGAATGGGTGGATTGATGATGTAACCTAGTCAGGTAATAAAACATCTGCAAACAACCAAGCTCACACAGTACCAAGGATTACAAAATCCAGAATTCTTCCTATCCACTTTTCTGGCAGTAGGGATGCAGGAATATTTTCAGTCATTTTCACTAAAATATTGATTTATGACCCAGGTCAGGATACCGCTCTCTGTGTGCAGTTTCTTTGTTCTGTTCTTCAGCATAATGCTCTCAGATAGAAGCATTGTAAGAAAGTAAGATGTCCCTGCATTTTCACTTTCTTAATTACTCCACTATCATGGACATGTTAGGACAGGATTCAGTTGATTGAAATATATCACTGTTGGCATTACAAGCATGTGTGACTGGTCTGGCACTATAAATAGAGATTACTTTGCAATGGGAATAAAATGTTTAAAAGTCTCCCTCCCGTTTTGGAAGAAATAAGAATAGAACAGAAGGGAGGGAGGGAGGGAGGAAGCAAGGGTTCTGTTACTCCAGGCAGAGGTATCAGATGCACCTACAGGTCATTTGAGCAGCCATCCTGCCAAAGGATTGACGCATGGCTCATAAAGTGACGGCAAAGTGATGTCCAAGTGTCCAATTCCATTGGCAGCAATAACTCCCGAGGGAGATGAAATCATGATTCTAGAAACTAATGCTCATTTCCTGCCAGCTGGCCCATGAGCCGTTTTCAGCTGTAACGTTTTCCATCATGTGTTACCCTGCTCTGATTTCTTAACACACTTCCCAATAGTGTCAAGTTCCTAGCCCTTGTTCCTTCTTTACTACAGCAGTTCTTTCCCCCTTTTTTCTCCTTTCCTTCATTTTGCTGCAGTCTATGAATTAAGGCCAACCTGATGTTTGCTTAAAGCTTTTCATATGCCTGTGGAACTATAATGTAAACGTAACACATGCTTAAAAAAATGCAAGCATTACATAGTGGAAGCGTCCATGGCAGGGATGTTAAACTCAAGGCCTTTGAGTTTGACAAGTGCTGGATCCGGCCCGCGGGGTGCTTAGATCTGACCTATGGGGTTGGTCTGGAAATAGCAAAGGACCAGCCCTCAGTACCTCTGCTAGCAAAAATGGGGCACGGGTGGGGCACGTGCCCCCCCGCAACCGCTTTTGGCCTCCAAAGTGGTCTAGGAGGCCATCCAGGTCCAAAATGGGGCTTCCAGAGTGGTCCAGGAGGCCGTCCAGGCCCAAAATGGGGCCTCTGGAGTGATCCAGGAGGCCGTCCAGGCCCAAAACGGGGCCTGCAGAGTGG